TGGTATCGAACGGTCCCGTGTTCCAGTCTTTGTTTCGAGTGTCAGAGAACGTTGAGTGTTGAAATATCTTTCTCTCAAAAAATTATTAAGTTTCCAAACCTAATCAGTTTTCCACTTGTATAGTAATAGCGTATTTGTAAACCCTCTTTGTTGCGTATCCAAATTTTCGCGGCTCCATTACAAAGTTATCCTCAGAATCTGTATACAATTGATCGGATATCCGATACCTGTTGAGTGCCATCCAAATATCGATCAAACACCAGTTATCTGAACCGGTGATGTTTTCTTTGCGTCACCCTTGTTTAGTGACTGAGCGGTGAAAAGTTCGTGACGGCTTGTTTTAACATTTTACCTATTCGCGGAACGTAACCGTACCATTTATCGTAAAATAAACGTAAAAAGTTACGGTTACGTTTATTTTACGAATGGATAAGGAAATTGACAATGTACTTTTTAAAACACTCGATTTGATCTGTATTCGCATTTTTATTTTTGCGTCATTCTTAAGAATATTTTATAAGCAATTCGAAGTGAATGTTCGAAACAAATATTATGCGTCAATTAAAAAATAAGCTTACCGAATCAATTTACAGCTTGCGATTTAGGATCAAAGCATTATCACGTAAGTATTGTACTGTATAATTGAATGTAATATATTCTATACGTAAATCTATAAATTGACGTAGAACCCTAACCTTTTACAAATGCGTTAACCCATTTATAACCGTTTACTTTAACATTTATACAACTAATCAACATACGAATCGGTCCCTAGTGTTTCAAATGTCTTGTCGTTTTCATTTCTTTACAACATATAGGTACCATATATACTGCACCGTTGACAGATTCATAGTGGTCCTGCATAGCGTTGATGCGTTCGTAATAAATTATGTATCGATAGAATTGTGGCCTACCGTAATACTTATTTTACAAGTATTCTTATCGATAGGAGCTATCCGTAACATAGTGTGCGCCTAAAGTCAACTGATATTTATCATATTCTATAATTTTTTTTTCTACAATAATGCTTATCAGACGACTTATGCAAGATTAATAAAACCTATTAAGAAACTACCAGTGTTACGTGTTTTTGAACACGCAAAATCTATTATTTGTTAGTTAAGAACAAATATATTATTAAAATAATATTTATTTTTATAATATAATGAAGAAATATATGGTGGTTAATAAATTGAAAATTACCTTAAGTTTATTGAATTTCTTAACAATTTGGATAATTATTATTTTTCCGCTTTTCAATACAGCCTTTTACTACTTGATTTCCAATATCCATTCTACTTTAAACGTATTGGCTTCTTAATTAATTATAAATTAAAAACCGAACATAAAATTGTCAACCTACAAATCTGATAATATCGATAATGTAACTAATCGATAACGATACAACGCTTATTGTAGCGTGGCGGGGCGGTGCAATAACTCTTGAAGATGTCATCACGTGCCAGAAGAGTTGACTCAACTATTATTACTTGATATAATATTAATAGGAAAGATAGGATAAATAGGACTAAGTTCTCCATATTGTCTTAAAATAATATTTGTAAATTACGTAAGATTTGTAGAAATACAATGTCGCCTTGAGTTAACCATCGCTTAGAAAAAAAGACACGATCATACCTGATATGTTGATTAATTACTATAAAGATTAATATTAAATTACTCGAGTTCCGTATTTGTGCTCTTTCAGTATGACATATTAGATAACCTATGTAGCGTTATTGAAATGGCATGTATACTTAGGACTAATTGTGTTTTTGAAAAGAGAATGATAAGATTTAACAAAACAACTAACATCATTGACATGTAATTAAAACTTTTTTGTTGATGAATATATCGATTTTTGACCAACATGAGTAGTAGTTGGAGTCTCGTGTTCTATATTCTTCTCTATAATCTATACGTTACTGTTAGCCTTAACAATTAAACAGCCATACGAATTTCAAATTCCGTCAAGCAAAAAAGTTTCATCTCCATATTAAAAGCGAAACTCCCTCCGTCAAATCAATTCTATTTACATACGTCTATATCTATGCTTATACTGTCCGTCTGTGGAAATCACCGATCGCCACGTGTCAGAAACGTGTCTTCCTCTGTTGCCCACATCGCCTCTGTCACAACGCAATAAAGTTCATAATTTCGTTTTAATGAAATAAGCAATGCAATAAATTGGCTATTTGCTCACTGTACCCTTTGTTTGGGATTTTTGAGTCAATATGTTATATTGTGCGAGCTAAATCTTGCAGATGGAAGGTAAGAAATTAAAGTCAATACATAGATACATCAGGGGTGCGATACGCGAATATTATGTTGGTTGATCGATAGTATGATGATATTTCGTTTCCTTTTACTACTTTGGTGGATAAATTTCGGAAAAAAAAAAACAGCCAAAAGACACAGCCAGTTGCACAAATGTCTATTAAAGAAATATCATTAGTTTATAAGCGACATTACTGGTACAAATATGACATTAATTAGGTTTAAAGGCGTCATTTAACCTTAATAGACGTTTGCGCAACTGACCATAAGTTGGAAACACTACCGTCAAATCATATTCATAATTCTTTGTCATTTATAAATTTACAAGTAAAAGTAGTAAAATGAAATGAAATATCGTTATTACATCGGTAAGGTGTCGTATTCTAATCAGGCGGTCGCTCTGCCGGGATAGCATAGAGAGTAACAAAGCGTAGGTAGATGACTTTTGCTTTATAAAGAATTCTCATATAGTTTTTACAAATGGTCAGAGTAGAAATGTGTTACGTTATTTGCTTGATCTATTTAAAAAAAAAACAAATCAGTTTGTTTTTTTTTTTCTTTTCAACTTTGTTACTTGTATCTATGAGTACTTATAGTGTAACACTTCTTCTTCTTCTTAACTTTAATGGCAATTTGCGTCACCACAATACTGCCAACTTCACGTAGGAGACATAACGGTCTAATCACAATTTAAATAAATTTCTTCAACCAAACAATTTTGAATTACCCATTCTATCTTTCTACACGGATTAACCAAAAGCCTAATACGAAACCTATAACAAAAATTTAATACGTTAATTAAGCAATAATTTTATATAAATAATCATCTAATCATAATCATTATCGTTTTGAATCTAACCACACACCATTATTAAATTAAATAATTGTGTTAAAGTAAGTGAGCACCACACCACTAATGTTAAAGTTTTAAGTAGTATAACACAAAGTCTCTTATCGATTTTCATCCATATACAGAGTGATTCAAGAGGAAGGTTTATTTATATGTATAATTCAGAAATACGCAGACGCAACTGCTGTCGGAAATCTAATGTGTTATAAAATCAAAATAATTTATAAAGCTACGAGACCACGGAAATTACAACAAATGTAAATGTTTTCTATTATTTATCTGTTCTTTAATAGAGTGTTACCTAAAATTTTAATTTTCTTTATCACAGACATCTAAGGTGTTTTTATAAACAACATAGGGGGTTGCTTTTTCAAAAATTAATAGGTATATAATTGAACGGTTTGATTCATTCAAAAATATTCTTTGCTTAGTTAAGAAACCTTCTTGCCGAATGCTTTATAAATACCACATAATGACAAAGTCAAACCATAAAGAAGACAGTTCAGTGTCGTTTAAAACAAAATAGTGAAACGTCAGATTTTAAATGGGTCTGACGTTTCATTGTAATTTTCAAAAAAAATAATTTAAACTAAAATAATACAAAAACATGCTCATAGATTCATAAGCTAGTTTTCTGTATAGCAGATATATACCTCACTACAGAATTCACAATGGCAAGGTAAGATTTTTTATTATTTTTTTGTATTTAGTTTTTACTTTACGCTATAGTTTTATAGTAGAACACATACATTATACAGAATGTAACTTTAAGAACGATTAGTATGTGAAAGTATCAGACATACAAAGATCTGTTCTTACTATGAGACATACTAAGCTCTGTACATAAGAAATACTGCATTCATACATTGTAAACAAAAAAAACAAAACTTATATTATTTGTAAATAATTACCGATTATGTAGGGCTTAAACACTTACTGTTACTATGAAACATATATGTTGTGTAAAACTGAGAATCAATTTTTTATGTACGAATGCAGTTTTTCTTATGTACAGATCTTAGTATGTCTCATAGTTTCAACTTTCAATGTTCTTAATGTACCATGTATATTGCATCAATCACAGAGCAACATCATACCAAAAGTCCTTTAATTTTTAAGAAGTAAATCCATCAAATGTGAGACAATTTACTTAATTAATAATTTAGAATAGTTTTCGTTTTATTATTTAGTGAGAATTAACCAGGTTACACCTAATATCCTTCCAAAATGCTAGATTTAACGAATAAGCCAGAGAGATAATTACAGAAAGTGGCAGAAATTAATTACAGCATAACTGAAAAATAACGTCTTGCTATAATATTTAGCAACAAAACTTTCCGACCCTACTCTATGGATATAGATTCAAAATATTGACGGATCACAAGCCACTGCATTGGCTTTTCAACTGCAAATACCCTGGTTCGTCGTGTCCGCTGGCATCTCAAACTGGAGGAGTTTAAGTACGATATACTATATAAAAAAGGGAAGATCAATGCAAATGCTGACGCCCTTTCTCGGTTCTCTGTTAATTCTATCCATCCCTCTGCAGAAAACTATATATGTATACTATAGTCCTTTTTATAATACGGTTTAACGGTTTCAATATTTGTTACCCTAGTAAATTTGGTAAATATGCTAATATTTACCAAATAAAATTAAACACAAGATTGATTGCTTGGTAAAAACAGAAACAAATTTCAAAATTTGGCTCGACAGAAAAATCGTAAAGAAATTTCATATTATGTTTAATATTTGACGTATTCTTTTGATCCCAAAAAAAACTGCATTTCCTTAAATCAAGAGAGAGCGTCTTTACTCTCGATGCGTATTTGTATGTGAACTTAAGCGGAGTATGTAATAATGTTGTCCACAGTTGCTGCCCATGTTCCGGTACCAGTGGTGGCAAATCCAGCTTGCCATTGATATGTCTGGTGCCACGTGACGAGGGCAAGGGAGCCGTGGGCAAGTCCGGCGCTCCCAGCAAGCCGTACTCCGCCGCCGCCATGAACGCCCCGGGTGGTTTTCAACTCCTAGATGAAGAATATGTCAAGAAGAACTTCAAGTTACCCCAGCGCGCTTTATATTTAGATCCATTCAGGTTCATTAACATTTAAACTCTTCTAAAGTTAGTAACTACGGTTTCGCCTGTACTACACATGCAGTTTAGTTGACTTACAATGGTCACGATTTTATCTCAATATCTTCATTAACGACCTAAATCTTTTGCATGAATTACTCAGTTTAGTGGTGAGTACTTACGAACTTAACACTTAAATCTTAAATAGCACTTAAATAAATAAACGCGGCTTTTTACCTGACTGTGCGACGCAAAGGAGCGTAATGTGTTTATCAGTCTATGTATGTATGTATGTATGTTTGTTTCTATGTGGCGTTCTAGAGACCAAATGCGTAGGCCGATTTTGTTGATTCTTACGTCAATCGATTCGTCTTAACCTTGCGAGTATCACTAAAGACATGACAGTAATCAAAATTCACCACAGCGTCAACCAGATGTCATATTGTCAAAATGAAAAAAAAAAACGATGAACTATGTCAAGTGGGGTGTCGTTGAATAGGTATTTAAAATCATCTTTAAGTTCCTTTTGTCATTTATCATTTTAAATAATAGTTTAGGATATATAACGATTTAAAGTTGTTTAACAAAACATTCTCGCTAATTTTCTTACTTATGATTTATTATTATTTAAAGTATAAACGGTATACAAACAGAAAAAAAAAAACAGGCAAAAAGCATGAAGAAAAAATATTTTTGGTAAAAAAAATAAAGCATATGAAGCTTTGAGCCGAGTTAGGTCTCTAGAGGGTCTAATAATCAGTAGTTTAGACCATCGCAAGTTACTTAATAATCCCCACGATATTAACTCCCTCAATGAAAAGACTCGATTGCGAAATTTAGCATCTTATGACGAAGTCAACGAATCGTAACTAAAAAGTATAAAATAAAAATAATTAATTTAAAGAAAATCAAAAAACCCGACTGCGTAAAAAGAATTTAAAAAAATACATGAAAAAATTAACTTAAATAAAGACTAAAAAGAAAGGAACAAGCCCAGTTCTTTAGAATTCTGTTAAGTAATACAAAACAGAACAACTCATAGTCGGGGCCCGGGGCCTTGGAAAGATTTGATTAGTAAAATTTGAATGGGCCCCCGACTATGAGTCGTTAATTAAGGAATACTGTTTCAAACTCTAAAATTATAATTATTTAAAATTTAGTATTTTTTTATAAATATCAATCAAATAGAAGAACTCTTATGAATAGCGTTATTTTAAAGCTGATCTATAACTACACCACCCTAGTTGAGACCCTAGATAGAAAAACATGTGACAGGGGGGGGGGGGTGTTAAAAAATCATGAATTTTCTGTAGTGAAAAGGCAATGGTTCAAAGTTCCCGGGGGTTGTTTATTCCGATCCTTAACTTGTCGAATAAATCAATATTGTAAAATATGACTGTATTCTAAAATTTGTCATAAATTATCGTATTTCAATTAACTATAAGAGTATTGTTATCGTTAATTAGAATATTTCAAAAGGAAGTATTTTAAAAAAAGAAAAAAGCACCTCTACGAGATTCTAGCAAAAGTTGATTTTTGGAGGAAAAAATTATGGACCAAAGATAGTAATTTCCGTTCCTTTTAACTTACATATTAAAAAACTGAAATTTGCCAAGTTCGAAACTTAGATATCAATACAAATACGAGAAAGAACAAATAGAATATGAGTTGTTTATTGAGTTTTGAAAACTAATTTACTTTTATACATGAAAGAAAACCGGAAGAATTGTCATGGAGAAATCAAGAACGTACCGTAGCGACATCTAGTTTGATATTAGGAACTAATGTTTTTTTTTTAATACATCCTCATTACTTCGCTCGACTATAGTAGAAGTGTTAATTGTTGGTTTTTCAGGCGTCCTCTGATAACATTTCCAATGACACAAGAGGATGTAAAGAACTTCAACCTGGCCCGCAAGTACAAGATAAATCAACAGATTTTAGACGGAACATTAGACGGCAGTGAGGCTATATCTGCTCCGAGTGTTTTCGTAAGATAATATTTCTTTAATTTTAAACTTTAGGTGAAATTTCACTACGACTATTAATTTAAAAGGAGAATGGGCACATACGACATAAGTGTATGATTCCAAGTATTGTAAAAATTAACTAATAAAAGTTGTAATTAATTAATTTAAATGTATTGATAAAAACGGAAGTGGAGACACAGGTCCAGTTTTCTCATTCCGTAATATCGCACTAGAGTAACTGGCCCTAAAATTTTGTTGCTTGTAATGGGTACCAATAGCGCCATCTAGAATAGTTTTGTTACAATGAGAATAAAATATTCAAATGGAGGCCCCATGTAAGTTTCATTAGGAACTATATATTAACAAATTATAATAAGCAAATCACGTTCTTAAGTCGTTCAAGTTATTTAATTCCGTTAGTGAATAACACTGAAAAATTAATAATTTGTGAGGATCTCGAGCTTCAAAAGGATATCTTTCGCATCGCCAGCCAAAAAGTTTAAAAAACATTGATGAAAGGGTTCAGTTTATAATATTTACAGTCTTCAATTTTTCTAAGCAACTGAAAATCAAATTTGTTTTATGTTATATCTCTAGCCATATGCAAAAACGGAAGCCGAGAAAAGAAAGGAAGCTGAGGACGATGAAGAAATTATATACATTTTACAATTGCCTGATTGGCAATACCAGTGCCCAGTTCATAAAGAGACTATATCAACGCCACGGTAAATAATAAATTTATGCATGCTATATCTATACATAAGAATATAGTTTAAAACACGTAGTGCCATCTATAATTATGATTTGGAAACAATATGCTTGAAGTCAAACCCCTACGAAGCATGGTAAAAATATCGTAGAGATGGTAGCGCCATCTATTAAGGTTCATTGGTATTTCACCATACTATTATAATGACCGTGGTCATTCTTTTTTATCTCTTTTTAGGAAGTTTAGCAGCAGAAAATCATTATTATTTTGCGCTTGTTGTTTGGAAAAACAATGTAGTGGGTACATTAGTCATATCTAAATAAGATACATAGCTATTAATAAGACATTTTCTTGCAATTTTTAATGTAGGTATATGTTTATAATGTTTGTATATCTAACTGTTCACGGATTAAAACAGTAAACTTTGTTCAGAACTTATGTAGACACGTCTAGCTAATAACTTTTATTTTACTGTAGTAAATTTTGTTATTATTTTAAGGTTCATTTGGCATTCTTGTAAGAAGACGAAGAAAGAGAAGAAAGGCGAACTCAAACAAGGTGGAGGTCCTCTCAACAAACCTAAGCCGTGGCTGCTCAGTAGACATACAGATTTCGATTTGTTGTCCCAGTGGTAATATATTATCAAGTGATGTTTCAATCAATTTTTGAATACCTTTAACCTATATTTAATAAGTGTAATTCCATAAAAACGATAATAAAAATGTATGAGCATAAGGATGTTGCTTTATTTACACATACACAGCGTCTTTCCAACGTTACATTAATAGGCTGTAAATGGTACCGTTTAACAGTTCTCTTCAAATCTACAAATATCGTTATTAATGTAATTGAAATGATTTGAAACTAACTTTTGGTAGGGATAACTTGCCCATATACTTACAATTTTTTTTGCCTAAAATGACAATTCGATATGCTGGTAAAACAAAATGGACGACCACATAATATGCTTAACGTGTTTTCCGAAGTGCGGCGTAGCTGGAGATATTTTTTGGTCACCCATCCCGTGACCGACCTTTGCAAAAGTTGCTTAATGACAACGACCGCGGGCCACTACGCCACCGTGCTACACGTATAGTATTCCGAAAGAAAAATGGAACCTCTATTGATAAACACTTGATAACTGTTCACATTTCAAATTAATATGGATAGTTTTATTATTACTATTGTTAAAAAAAATGAAAGTTATTGTATTTTATCAATTTTGCATTCTCAATGCTAAACTGGTAAATATTCTTAATGAAAAATGTTTATAAAACCTACAAGACCCAGATATTCTGACCTGAAACTTTTTTGATAGAATGAGAGATATTTTCGAATCAATGTTTGTTAATTTCATAAAAATCAATGTAATTTGACGCATCAGTTTACTTTTCATTTTTTTTTAATAATACCACTAACAAAATTCTTCACGCACTCTGAAAAATTTTTCCATAATTTTAATTTAGGGATATAATTATTAAATAAAATTTATCAAATTGTGTATATATTAGGAATTTAATTGTTCTATTTGAGACAAAAAATGATGTATTATGTTTTTCAAATCTTCTAATAATTTCCTTATGCGGGGTAGTTTTTAAGGGTTGTTATATAGTGAAATATCAAAATACTAGCTCAATCGTATAAATAATATATACTGTAACATAATAACAACCTTTTTCCTTGTTCAATATATTAATTTCAAATTTTCAAGTTAGGGGGTAGTATTAAACCTTTAAAAATAAAATGCAACTTGCAACTAAGTTAGGTTCTAAGTAGTGAATAGATGAGCTTAATTCCAGAACTTCAGACAAATCCATGCAGTTTAACAGAAATCGGAGGTAAGGCACTATCTTTACGTTCATGAGTGAACGATATGAAAAAACCTGTTAATTGACGATATTTATAAAAATGAAATGCATTGTATCAGTAGAGGCAGTTTGTGAATCTGCATGTAAAAATTTGCACTAATACAAAATTTTGATACTTTTAACAATGTTTGAAACGAAAGGAAAATCTCACGAGAGCCAACCTGATTAATATTTAATTAAGTAGGCTAATTTTGACTTTCGAAATTCTCTTTAGATCCATTTTACACAATGTTTCTTTTTGTTCTCATAAAATAATTCATTAAATCCATTTATTTCCCTTAGTTTTAGTTTTAGATAATAGATTTTAAGAGAAAAAAATCATTTGATCCATAACGCGTCTGTCCTATGGATCTTCTGAGAATGAGCGAAATAAAGAAATCGCGAATTAATTTCAATTAGAAATGATACTTTCATCAAATAGACCTGATATTATACTTATTTTTGTTCTAACAACGAATTAAATTATATGATTTGTTAATAACCATTGAAGCATAGGAAGTCATGGCCTACTGGCATACATTTTTAGGATCCCATACCAAAAGGTTGCATACGGGACACTATTACTAAGACTCCGTTCTCCATCCTTGTGTTAGAAAAAAATATAATTTGGTTTGTTTTGATTTCAAAATATAAATCATAACTTCGTAAAGAAAAAAAATATTCGACGGATAATCTCTGAATTGTATAAACTTTTTGAATAAATACAATTTAATCTGATTATATAATTGTTTATCTGATTGTTCTCGATCCGCTTGGTGGTCTTTTAACTAATCAACAACCTTATAATAGCTTCATTTTTCTCCTGTGTATATTCAGGTAGGTAAATTACATTTTGTGGAACCTTATGCCGCGTTCGCATTCTTGCTGTAATGTTTATAAGCAGCTCAGTAGTCTATGGACAAAAGCTAGTTTTTCTTTTTGGCCTCTCTGTAGTTTCTCTTTCTCATGATGGCCGCTGCTTTCACTAAAACGTGAGTTTCATTCCTGATATCCTTATTCTTTTTTATAGTAATAACACAAGTAACAGCGGTGGGATCTTAAAAAAGGTGGGAAGTAAAAAAGAGACAGAAACCGAAATGGATCAAGATAAAACTTAATTACCAGTGGCACAATTAGCTATTTCACAAAATATATCGGTTAACACATAGAGAGAATTTAATTTTAGTGATATCAAGCCATGGTCTTCAAAGATTTGAACAATTTTTAATGTTAATGGGAAAAAATAAAATAAAAAAGAGAAACGCAACCTATTACTATACTGTATGGGCGAGGAAAGTTCAGCAATCAAAAATCAAATTGGCAAAACTCTGATTTATAATGAAATGGTAAAAAAAACGAATATTTTAATCCAAGAAAAATTTTATATATAGTTTAATAGGAAAATGCAATCACAAGGGGAATCAGTAGATGATTTTATAACAAATATATTCATGTTGTGAAAATTGTGAATTTGTAAAAAGACTAAAGAAGAGATAATCAGGGATAAATTAGTGGCAGGTGTTCTCGATAAAGATTTCTCGGAAAAATTACAAATGATGACTAATCTTTACAAAACTTTACAATACAGTAAGGTTAATAAGAGAATGGGAAACACAAAAAGTACAGACAAGGAAATTATTTCAAAGTGAGGTAAATAAAGTGAGAAAATAAAAAATGTCAGAGAATTCTATGGAGATGAAATCAACTAACAAATTGCCCATATTGTGGATATAAATCACATCCAAGATTTACATTTCCAGCTAAAACTACTGAATGTTTAAATTGCAAAATCAAAGGACACTATTCAAGGGTTAACAAGAAAGTAAAAAAGAAAAGACCTTGAAGAAGAAGGTAATCAAAGTGTGTTTTATGGTCGATATCAGGTTGTAATTCAGAATGCGCATGGCTCTGCAATATATATAATAATTTGGAAAAGAAGGTAAGTTCCTTAAAAACTCAGGGGCTGATTGATATAATTTGTATTCCACTGTCATTTGTGCCTCAAAATTATACTAATAAAGTCACCTGATTTGACAGTGCGTGTTGCAGATGAAAGAACTCTGGTCTGGATATCTTAGGATATTTTTCAGTAACATTAAGTTACAAAGATCCTACATTTCGTACTAAGGCATATGCAGTAAAATTTAATTATAGTAGAATGGTTAGTTTAAAACTAAATAATTTAAAGGTCAATTTGAATAAATCGACTAGTGAACTGCTAGTTCTGTTAATATTCAAAAAGAATTTCCTTAAGTTTTGCAGGAGCAGGATTTTACACAAATTGAGAAAGAACCGTGACTCTTACATTAGCTGCTGAAAAATTCTATGAGTATATAACGGGCTTAAAAAATATTTTTGGGTCTGACCATAAACCGCTTGTGCAAGTATTGCAAACAATTAGATGATTTAACTCAAATGTTGCAAAGGTTTAGAATCAGGCTGATGCGGTATAACTATGAGATTAATTACATTCCTGGAAAAAAAATCTAGTTTTTTAGTTTAGTTTAGCTGATCAGAATATTAATCTAATGATTGGGATTTATTTGTTAATTTTGTAAGTAAATTTTACCGATTTGTGATGTGTATTTACTGAAAATAAAGGGGAAAAAAATAATGCTCACATTTGTATCATGTTAAAGAAATATTGCATTGATGGTTGGCCGAATAAAGTTAAATTAACTCCAGAGTTACTTCCTTATTTTCAATATAGATATCATTTTAGTCTATATGATGATTTAATGCTAAGATGTTCTAGAACTGTAATATCAAATAGCAATCTGCATAAAGACATTTTAGAGCATATTCATATGGATCATCAGGGCATAGTAGAATGTAGACAAAAAACACATAATATGGCACTCTGGTGGTTAGAAGTTAGTGTTCGAATAGAGAATTTAATAAGAATTTGTCCTGAGCGTATGGATTTATCGATCAAATACAATCAATACTTTCTGTAAAGATACTCATCAGCTACTAGGTCATGGCAAGTCATTGCAGCTGATTTATTTTATCACGCGAAATGGTATCTCATTGTAACTTAACATATTAACAGAAAATTCAATAATTTGTAAGACCAAGGAATTATTTCAAGATATGGTATTTGTAAAACATTCAGATCAGATAATGGTCCACAATTTGAAGAGACATTTAAGAAGTTTTCCTTAGATTATAACTTCATTCATATAACTCTTCATATAATGGCTAGTCTGACGGCCTGGCTGAAAACTCGGTAAAAATAGTAAAAAAAAGAATGTGGGTCAGATAGAAAACTGATAACACATTTTCCTATACTTACATCTAAATTACAAACAAAAGAATCAATAGAGGTAATCGTAAAGGGAAAACAATTTGAGGATAAACAAGCTTATAACTATAATAAACGTTATCGTACAAGAACATTATCTGATCTGAATGTTGGAGATAGGGTATGGGTAATTCATTTAAGAAGGTATGGATTTTTTTTGCAAATACTGCCATATCGGTCTCATTTGACACAAACAGAAAGCAGTGAATATAGAAGGAATATATGGCATTTTATTCTTGCTCCTTATGCAGAACAACATAACAGAATAAGTAGATCAAATAGTTTAATACATAGCAGCCATTCTTTTAAAGATAATAATATGAATAGTAAACAGAATACAAGTAATATAACCATGTCAAATGAAAATAATGATGTATCAGTAAACAACAAATTTGATAACAGTTATATGATTGATTCTTCAAGCGATGTAAACATTGACTCTAGGCCTGTAAGGCAAAGAAAGAAGCCAAGTTTGCTTATTGATTCTGTAACATAATGTGTCCATATTAATTAAACAAATACACGGTGAACGGAGATTTTAAGAAAGGTGATGTAATATTTATAAGCATCTTAGTAGTCTATGGGCAATAAATCTATGACAACTAGTTTTTCTTTTTGGTCTCTTACTTTCTCCCTCTCTCTCTCTACAACGTGAGTTTTATTTCTTATATCCTTTTTTATAATAATAAAACACTTGCCACTTGCTACAAATTCGAAATCTTTACAAACACGCAAACATGTGAAGGCGTCGCAAGCTTCTCCCGTAAATTGCCTTTGATTTGTTAAAAAAACTCACATCGTTAGGATCGACTAACAAGCGCTTGCAAACCTACACAAAATAAATGAAACACTCTGTCTACACTTTTGAATTTAAGATGACTTGTTGTCATTTCGCAAGAGTGTGGACGCGGCATTATAAAAAAACCCCCATAACAAACCCGTCATTGATCCTCTCCTTTTTTACATTTTGAAGTCTGATCTTAAACTAATTCACATATTTACACTGAGGGCAACTGTACATTTTAAAATATGTTTTACTTTTGCTGTGTGGAAGGATGTAACAGTATTCGAAACGGCGTTTATTTTCACAGCTTTCCATTAAACGACAGCGAAAGACTTGATAAATGGATACAATGTCTCGGGTACAACAAATTTGGGAAATTAAGTTTAAGTGAACTTAAAAACCAATACGTTTGCCATAAGCATTTTGAAAAAAGGTTTATAACACCAAAAAACCTTTTGCGTAAAGATGCTTATCCAACATTATTCTCTTATGATGAAATCAGGACAGGTCTACCCTCATCGTATCTGGTGAGTAGATACTTTATCAAATTGATGTAAAAATGTGCAAACTGTATAAAGCCAATATAAAATGTATCTTAATAAATGAGTCGTTAGAAATTAGGATAGATATAAAGTAAATCCTTTGAACGAAATAGCAATATGATTATGAATATTGAGCAAAATTCTTAATCCATAAAGACGCCGAGCTTGCTTCTATTTTTTTTAAATATACCTTAAGGTCTGATTCTGATGATAATATATATATTTATATAATTATAAAAACCAAAATCCCATCTACGTGTAAACAAAGGTAAGAAGTCAAAAAATATATAATTATTTTGACTGATAACTAAAAAAAACAAGCTGGTAGTTTGGAATGTTATTAAGTACTACTGAATAACTACTCCAATGAAAAAGTTTTAAAACATTATAAATTCAAAAGCAGAATAGAATGTATAATTTTTTGTTTCACTTCTTTCTTTTGTTTACACGCAGTCGGGTTATTTGTTTCTTATAATAAAATTTTTATTATACACTCTTTAGTTAGTTCTCATTGACTTCGTTATTAGAACTATAATACGGTAAATTTCGTAACCTTGTCATATCAACTTAATAACTACTAATTCTAATAACTACTAAGTCTAAACTACTAATTATCAGGCCCTACAGAGACCTCACTCAGCTCAAAGCTACATATGCCTGACCCTTAGCAAAAATTCGCGAATTTAAGTTAACGAACAGCTCGGTGCAAAGTAGTTCTTGGCACTTAAAAGTTAAATACTTTGCGAACGGCTCACTATATCTAAAAACAGTCTTCGCACACTTATTATATTTTTGAAAGACCTATCCAACAATATCCCACACTATAGGTTATGTACTTAGTGACACTCGCAAGGTTAAGACAAATCGAGTGACGTATAAATCATCAAAATTGGCCAAGCCGTTTCAATATCATATAGGAACAATATAAAACATACATACATAGACTCATAAACACATTACCTTCCTTTACGTTGCGCAGTCGGGTAAAAATGAATCCCTATTTCCCTTGGTCACGCTATCACACGTGCGTGAACCGCTCAACCGATTTCGCTAATTCTTTTTTGTTGTGTTCTTTATAGTCGGAAGAAGGTTCTTCTGAAAGATTTAAGATTATTTAACTACCACATAAAATTATTTCTAATCTAACTCAAGAAAATACCTCTAAAGATCACTTGGAAAAACAGGTTATTACGTGTGACGAAAACGACAAACGTTCATCAAATTGTGAATCCTCAACATCAAGCAACTGTGAGTTAATAATTGCAAACTTGGATAGTGTATCTGTATCTCATGACCCTGGTACGTACTGTAACGGCATTTTAACGGAAGAAAACTGTAATATTTGGATTCGAAAAATGCCCGAGTTTTTCCAAAATAAACACTGTGACTTCTTTGGAACTTCTAAAAGTTTTCCAGCTTCATGTGGTAAAATAAAAACTAGATACTTGACAAAAAAAATTTTACCCGTAAATTAACGAATGGTTTCTAGACAGAAAACGGCTCCTTTATTCCCCAGCAAAGAAATCTGTGTAATGTTACTGCTGCCGTCTATTTATTAGCACTATTGGTACTGGGCATAATTTGAGTTCTCCAAATGGATATAAGGATGTTTCTAACATATAAGTAACTTATTGATGGAGCATGAGAACAGTTGCAACAAAATAAGGCAATTTATGATGAATTATGTTAATTGATAGTGAGTTGTTGTCCCGATATAATATAGAAGTTAACTATTTGAAAAATGTCCTTAGGAGAATTGTTGCAGTAGTGAAGTTTTTAAATTTAATATCTCAGCCTTACATAACTTAATCAAGTCTGATAAATTAGAAGAAACTGTTCCAAATGTTAAAGTTGCTACAAAAATATTCCTTTGTCTAATGGTTACCAATTGTAGTGGGGAGTGTCCATTTTCACATCTTAAGAGAAAAAAAAAATGAATTGCGAACAACAATATTACGAGAACGGCTAAATAATTTGTCAATTATGAGCATAGAAAGGGATATTGTTCAGAAAATTGAGTTTGAGTATTTAATAGAGGATTTTGCTCAACAGAAACCTCGAAAGAAATTATTATCGTAATCACAATAAACAGCAGCATACACACTAATATTATTAATGACATATTGTATTATTATAATATATTTAATTAATAAAGCAAATCATAGTCAAAAAAAATTATATAGTTCGATTCGATCTCTTTACATTACAAAAGGGCCCCGAATTCTTGTGTGCTCAAGGGCCCCAGCATAGTCTAAGACGGCCCTGGCCATAGTGTTTTATTAGTAGACACGTCATAGCCATATATTATTGCGTTTTTAAACAGCGTAAACTATATTATGGTAGCGTAACAATATAATACAACCACAAAGGGCGCGAAGAAATCAAAAAACATTTATCTCTAGAATAGAAATAGAATGAGCTAAACAAAATTGCATAGTTTTACGTGTCAACTGCTGCATCCTCATAGAACACGATGCACAAAAAAAAGGCAGAGTTCAATGACGTTTCATAATTTTTATTAAAACAAAAAAGAGTAAGTATACTGTACTGTAATAAAACGCTGAAATGATATATTTTTTAGCTTTTCTCATTGTCAATGTGTAATTTGTGCATTGTTTCAACAAGCAGGAAGGCATTTCTGGAAGGCAACATTTCAGACATAACTACGAGTAAAAATGACATTGACTATACCGCTTGCTAAAACTTGACTAAATTGGCGGCATACTTATTTCTGAATAACGCATCCAATATGGATCAAATGAATAGCATATCTTGTAGAATTAAATACACCAAATAAATGCTTATTAAAAAAAATCTTTTACCTTGTTTTTTCTTTTCGACCGAGAAAGTAGTAGATACACTAATGTTAATCTGGGTTTTAAAATATAATTAAATATTTAGATCTCATGTGAAATAGTTAAAATATGAAATATATTTTTTGTTACAGAAAACCAAGAAAACACATCTGGTTTGTAATGTCACACAAAAATTTCAATATACAGAATGAAAACCCTACAACATCAACCGCGTAATCAAAGAAACAGGTTCAAATCGATGTAAGAAGTATGCAGTTGTTAGTTACGTACACTCAAAATCACCAATATTTAATTGGTTTTGTACAAAGCATAGGTAATTATTAGATAAGTTTTAGGTGATAATTGAAAAACCACATTGTATTTTTAGGGATAGACAGGAGCAGTCTTTTGTCTTAATGCCTTTTAATATAAGAATAAATAAATATATTCTTCTAGACTTCAACACAATATGCTGATGTTCATTGCTTAGTTTAAGTGTTTCAGGCAGTTATTGAAAACTGTTTATTATATTAAAAATATTACAAGTATCAAGAAATCTTTATCATCTTTCCCCACTGTTGCCTTCCACAAATTGAAGTTTTCTAGTTTGCCATTAGATTCTGATACAATTATATCTGTATGTTATAAATAATTTTATATTAACGAAATTAATGTGTAAATAAGTAATAAGTAAAATTACTTCAATTTTTAAAATAGTCATATTAAAATACAATTGTTCCCACTAGGGTTCGCGGCCTCCGTTGTGTCTTATCTATCTCAGCTTGGATTAGCTTCTGTAAGAGGAACAATGAAAACTATACTTTAATTGATATTATTCTAAAAAATATATTTTAGTTCATTTTCAGTTATCAGTCCTATTCTATTAGTACTACGTCCATGAGCACACCATAGTTTATCACATGTTATAGTTACTATTTAGCCAAAGAGATTTTTCAGAAAAAGGTTTATAAAAAATATGTGGTTTCCCAACAAAGAGTAAACTATTTCTCAATGATGTGATTAAAAATAACAAAATTCTTGTGTACTATTCAACATTTTTAAAATAGTAAAAAATTTAATGAAATATAGTTATTAAGTGTTAAGTTTCATAAACAAATTAAAAATATGGCGAATAAAGAATTATTATCAAAGATAGCTGATATGTAAGTATTTTAAACATCTAGTTTAAAAAATAATAATTTTGCTTACAAAAGGAAAAATTATAGAACGAATGAACCAGTAATATCATTGTACTAAACTTATGCACAACCAATAATCGATACGAAAATCAATAATAGTTGAATGTGAACTAACCAACCCGGGCCATGACTCCAGAAAATTGCGGGGTTCATGTAATATACATTAACTGTACGGAAACCTATTCGTACTCAAAAAGATAAACTTATTGCCAAATTATTCGGGTTACATACTATTAATTTCATAACTTCACTTTTTTGTTCTTCAAACAAGAAAGTCTTTCCTGTAGTACTTAATAGTTACAATATACCTAACCTACACTTAAATAATCTAGAAAACTTAACAAATTCTTGGGATATAAGCGTGGCTGGCCTGGTCTGGGTCGCTACTGTAGCCTGGCTACAAAAAATGTGCTTTAACTGGAGAAATACTGCGTTACCTTTTTTCCTTTAAAGAGATTACGCTTCCTTACAGTTTATAGACATGAACCCCATATGTTTCGAGTCGTGACGGGGCTACATCTGATCGACTCGATATAGCGAGTTACATACTCTTGTCTCGCTTCGCGAATTCGTGAATCGTCTTGTATATCTAAAATTTGTAACTTTACAACCATAATTCTTTGTTTATTAATTTACATAAATACTTATAAAAAAATATATTATTTAGTAATAAATTATATATGAATGAGGCGGCTTATTTCCAATAGTTTTCACGAACCAGAATCTTAACGTTGTGGTAAAAAAACATGTTATCACTATAATTTTTTTTCTGATTGTGACGATGCTTACAATTTTATGGCACTTTAATTTAATTTTTAAATTTAATAGGCATACCTGTGTTGCATACTATCTAATATAATAATATAGTCCTTTTTGAATAGCCCACTCGCAAAGCCTGGATTCGATGCATTAAATATGTCAGCACCTGTAATGGTACAAATGAACCCTGATGGTAAATGGGAAAGTAGTAAGCCTGAAAATTTAGACGAAGAACGTTTGAGAGCAGTTGTCCAGCACTTACTGAGCTCGAAGGCTGTGGCCGCAGCTCAAAGTTATTGCTGTCAGTGTGCTAAAGATAGTCAGGTATTCATTCTGTCCATATTCATTTTTACTTATAACTTACACAGGTACGGATGTTTTTAGTCCTTCAAAAATATTCTCATAGGCAATTGAGAGTTCAATATATATCTAGTTAAGTATCCAATTTTTAAGTAATCGAAATTGAACTTCTGGGAATAAATTTTCAACGATAATTTTATTAAATTATTAAAGCCGAATTTTCATAACGAAATTAGTTTTTATTACATTAACTTCACTGGTGATTTCATATGCGAGCTTTTAGTTTCACAATTCAGAAGGCATTCATTAGTTTCATGACACTAGAATAGTTTCATGCGCTTATTTTTTATGAAACTGGTAACGCGCAACATGGTGGTGCACCTTGCGACCCTATCTGCAATCTACACATTATAATAAAAGTTCAATATTGACGGAGCCAGTGTTTCAGAGAAACGATTGATATAGCGTCATTACTAAACTATTTTCACGTGTGCTGAAATTAGCTTCGTGAAACTAATTTTATCAAGCATGACATTAATTTCGTACTGTAAATTCGGATTTATGAACCATACGCAACAAAATACAAATTAAAAATAGGTACCGATTTTTAGATATAAAATGGTGATTAGTTTAGCATTAATCATAACAAACGGGTTAATCAAATCATGAGTTGCACCATTTATAAAATTAGTTAACCTGTGCATTTGTGGCAATTGATCCATGACATCTTACTACTGAAGTTTAGCTGGAGTTAAGGTTTTACAAGAGCAACAACCAGAATGGTGCAATCTGTGGGTGCAACTTATTCGATAGTTAAAGTCAGCGTAACAATTATCGTCAAAGGAGAATGGGCACTGAAGTATGGTGTTTGGCTCAAGTATCGTAGCACTTTAGTGATGTATCATTTGGAAGATTTCATTTAAAACAATTTTTTTTTATTTGGTGACGAGGCTGAAATCCACGTCTCAAAAAATACTGGGTCCAAAGTTCTTTATATCATATTAAAATTACTCATTTATTTGTAGAAAAGATCTATGATATACTGTGGTGTACAAAATATATATACAGTTCACTGAAAAAGTGTTCACTGCACTAATAGTCCCCGCAGGCTATAGACTTTCTATCGGCCGATAGTTTAGTCGAGTTGATCTGCTAATGCGCACACATTAAACAGTCGGGTTGGACTTGAGTGCGCAAACCAACCAACTAACAGTAAGCCGATTGTTTACTTACATTTGCCGATTGATTACTAAGATTCTATAGTATTGCTATATAGAAATCAAGAGTATTGGGTACATCCTATCTACAGTAATAAATTATTGCATGGTAAGTTTTACACCAGTCATTCCAAATTTCTAGATATTCCCGAAAATTTTTCTTTTATTAATAAGCAAAAACGTCGCTGCATCCATCATATATAGAAACTCGTTATTAGCGCACGACCGTTCTCGCATTCAACGGTAACTTAATTGAAGGTATCGGCTGAGTCGGCCCACGAAACAATCGGCAAGTGTGCGGGTGAGGAAACACCGTTCTCGCATTCAACGGTAAGTTAACTGAAGGAATCGGCTGAGTCGGCCGACGAAACAAACGGCAAGTGTGCGGGCGAGGAAACACCGACATACTGATCAAACGGTTGTCCGACAGTTCGCCGATAATTTAGGCAATTGTCGATCTCTTCCACCTTTTTTTTTAGCCGATATTTAATCTCTGTAATGTTACATACCTTTTCATACCAATTAAGAAGCCGATCAAACTATCGGCCCATAGAAAGTCTGTAGTCTGCGGGGACTCTAAGGGACGGTACAAATCTGGCGTAAGATCCGTAAAGTAAAAACAAAAGCTAGAAAAGAATGAATGCAGTGTCAAATGTCAAAGATTTACTTATTTTATACTATAGACAAGATACCATCAAACCTAGTATCCAAAACCCCTCCTTAAATAAACTAACGCGCAACTATTAATTTCATCAACCTCTTTCATGCACACAAACATTTCTCACAAAAGAAAAACAAACTTACTTTAAATTCACACTACGCACCTACGCAGGACATATGTTTAGATTTAGGTAAGTCTTTAGTTAAAAAATCGGTTGGCATATGTTCACCTTTCATAAAGAACAACTGAATAACACCTTTTCCTAAGATATCATTCATAAAACGATCTCTGACGTCAATGTGTTTGATACGTGCATGGTAGTGACTTGAATTTGCAATAGCAATTGCTGATTGACTATCACAGTGGATTGGTATGGGAGAACACTCAGATCTCTCGACTTTTGAGTTTTGACAATGTTCTACAGTGGTTTGATAATTATAATGAAGAATGTTACTAGGTATGCCAAATCGCTTGAAATTTTGTCTCAATAAAGCCCTTATGTATACAAATACACTAGTTTTTGTTGCAGTCAAAAATACCTAGTAATTTTGATTTTATATGCATTCAAAGTTTCGAAAAATATCGAATCCCGCTAACAGCCATGTGACCGCTTGTGACGTCATGTCACAACGCACCGCGCCCCGCTTAGTATCAAGTCGCCAGCGGTTATAGTAGATATAATAGCTTGCGCAGTATTTTGTTGTGTTTTCACCCATGTATTAAGTTTATAGTCTAATAATATTAAATATTATTCGATTAATAAAATAGACGAAGGATTCGAAAAAGGGCAATCGGATAATCTACCTAAAATAAATGGATTAAAAATTGCACATTATTTATTAACAAATAATAATTTCGTTGCCGCCGAAATGCGAGGAATAAAAATGCATAGGTAAGTAAACTTTCCTTGCTACTATTGATGCTTAATAGTTTATCTGTTCTAAATTGTTTTATCAAAACAAAATTTGCAACTAATATCGTAATGGAAGAATGAAATTCAAATATTAGAAGTACCTACCTACCATTAAATTTTTACGTTAAAGACAAATTACAGACTTCGTCCAGATCTGTTCAGTAGTTTTTGCGTGAAAGATAACAAACAAACACACACACAAACTTTCGCATTTATAATATAAGTAGGAAGTAGGATAGGTCCCTAGGATGTAGATGTAGTGGGTTAAACGTTACAGATGTTCTAAACCTTTTTTTATTTGTATTTTTTTTTTACTAACAAAATACGTAAGGCCATTTTATCAAATTATTTTTTTGTTGCAAATATAGAAGTTTGAACAGATGTTCTAAACCTTTTTTATTTATTAGTATTTTTTTAACTAACAAAATACTTAAGGCTATTTATTTTTATTTGAAACTTATTTCAGATCGGCAAGAAACAGCTATGACAATGATGTTATTGATTATGTTCTAGTTAAAAGAGTAGGTGATTTAAGTATGTACGGTTAAATGTAGAATCACGCCAGAACACCGCGTACGTACCACACCTTATCATTGCAGTTTAGAATGCAATGAAAAGGATCAAGAAGTATTAAACGTAAACTGCGAAGATTGTGCCGCCAGCAGAGGTGGCTGTAAACATACTGTAGCATTTTTAATGTGGCTACATCGTCGAAATTGAAAAAATCTAAGCTCTCAGATGTTGGTGCCACAATGAAAACGATTAAAACTAAACATTTTGGCACAAGTGGTATAACACTTCATTTAGCCGGTCAGAATGAAATTTTTTTTTGACAAAGTAGTATTAAAACTTAAAGAGCTTCAAATACAGTGTTCTCTTTCACATTTTGTATGTGAAAAAAAGAGGTTGAAAAGATGTCTATTTATCATAAAGATGTCTATAAAAAACAACTTTCCCGGCGAATTAGTAGTTGTATTTTTACATTTAGGCACAACACATGATTTCCTAGAATTTGGATTGGACATTTTTAAAAGTATTTAGGTAAAATTTCGACAGCACGGGCGCGCGACTGCGAGCGGACTAAGTGAGCCAGACTGAGCGTGTTGTGCAATGACGTCACATCGTCACCGGCAGCCCGCGTCGTGCGGTTACAACTTGTTTTACTTCTAAATCGGAAAGTAATTGTCGTATCGAAGTAATTCTTTCACTAGTATTTTTTATTTTTGACAGAAAATATGGAGTGCTAATAAAAAAAAATTGTTAACATTCTTCATTTTAAGCTTAATTTAAATAAAACAAAATGAATAAAGTTTGCATAACCTAATGTGAGACATGTTAGTACACTTATAAATGTAAATAGTGAAAAAGTTGAGTTGGTGGAATCGAAAAAGTTCCTTGATATTATACTAGATTCCCGACTGCAATGGGATCCTCATATTGATAACTTGTCAAGTAGACTGAGTTATGGAGCATTTGCTGTTAAGAAAATGAGACTCTTGACAAATGTTGAAACGGCAAGATTGGTATATTTTAGTTATTTTCATAATGTAATGACGTGTGGTCTATTGTTGTGGGGTTCTGTGGCTAGCATACAAGATATTTTTATTCTACAAAAGAGAGATATCTGCGCTATATACAATTTACGGTCTAGAGAATCTCTCAGAGAAATAATTAAAGAAATAAAATATTTTGACTGTTACCTCTCAATACGTCTGTCAACATATTATGTAAGCAAGAAAACATTACGATTCCTTCACAAAAAAGTTAGTAATCTTATCACAAGAAATAAAAATAAACTTGCCGTTCCGAGTTTCAGACTTTATAAAACCAGAGGACTATTTCTGGGTCAATGTATTGCTATGTTCAATAAAGTTCCTCAAATGTAATTGACCTACCCATAAATAAATTGAAAATTCATGTAAAGAACACACTTATGAGTAAAGGCTATTATAAAGTTAATGATTATTTTAAGGACTGCAATGCATGGAATTAATAGCCTTCGCTTTGTTTTATAACGACCAATTATATGTACAACCTATGCCCTACGACTTTGAAAATTGTATTTATTATTGTGATAATACATATTATTTTGGTAATGACATGATTTATGTGAATGTCATTACTTATGATAAAAAGCTGGTAAGTTTCTTTCGCTTGTTCTTCTTGTCAGCTAAAAGACGTCCGAACAAATGGTAGGGGAAAACATTTTTTTGACGATTCAATATTGCTTGAAATTAGCTTACTTGACTAAGATATTTTTGTTTCGTTTCGTTTCAATTTCTCCACCAATCTCTTCAAGTACACCGCTTCTCTTGTTGCATTTGACAATGAAATATATTCTGCTTCGGCACTTGAGTGAGCTACAACTCCTTGTTTTTTGCTTTTCCAACTATAATATACCCTAAAAATGACTTTCTATCAATAAGATAATCCCCTGGTCAGCATTGACAAAACCTTCGATACCCTTTTATGTTTCGGTAAATGTTAACTGAAAATGTTTTGTACCGCTTTGGTACCTAAGTACACGTTATGTTGCTTAATAATGTTCTTCTGTGAAGCAATTGTTGAACTGGCTTAAATAACTTATAGCATAAGAAATATCCACTCTTGTACATACTGTTAGAAACATTAACGATCCAATAAGTTCCTGATAAGGAACATCCGACACATGATTTTCACTAGACGGTTTCGTTAATCTTTGTCAGCAACTAAGGGAGTGGCTACTGGCTTATAGTCTTGCATTCCCCATTTCTTTAATAATTTCTCTACGTATCCTGTTGATCGAATTTGAATCTATTATCAGCTTGATGTAACCTCATACATAATATCAAAGCAGCTTTTCCTAAATCAGCTGTTTCTTAAGTTGCAACATCTTAGCTTTGTTATTCCACAAAATTAATGAAACGTCAACATAAACAGCAATAATAATCAATCTATTCTTTAGATAGACAGCAGTATTCACTGATTCAGCCCACCATCTCTGGGACAGGCCAGCATCTTGTAACATACTCCTAGGTCTCTTATTGATCGTACGAATCGTACTCTCAGCAACACCGTTTTGCTTAGGCGTATAGTTTACTGTGAATTGATGAATAATTCCGTGACTATTCACAAATTCTTTCATCTTGCTGTTCACATATTCAGTTCCATTGTCTGTCCTTAATTTCTTCAACTTCTTTCCGGTTTGTGTCTTCGCCATATTTTTAAAATTCCGTATCATTCAAACACTTCAGCTTTCTTTTTTAGTAAATATACGACAGTTTTCCTCGTATCTATTAGAGTAAGAAAATATCTACATCTCATAAAAGACGCTTCTAGCATAGAACCACAAATATCTGAACTCAAGCACATTAGTTGCTCTTGTTGAAGAACTCCTATAAGGCTGTTTAGTTTGCGCCATCCTCCGATGCCACAGTCGCAAATCATCAATAACGTCGTTGTTTTCTGAAGTAGCATAAGCTATGTAATCGTAATGTGAATTGTTAGTAACTTTGTTTACACCATTCACAAAAAAAATATTCAGCCATAAGACCACTCTTCGTCATAAGTGAATTTTTAAGTATTTTACAACCTTCATTCGAAAAAGTATAGTACGACATCGTTTTACTAATGTATCGACTTATTCGCTCATTAGCTCATTTTATTTGTTTTCCAATCTAGGACATACAAATCTCCAATCACTTTCATATCGTATTTGTTCTAGAAGGCGAGTCAAAGGAATGAGTAGTTAAGCAAACGAATAAAAATAAAGAGAAACTATGTTCTATTTCTTTTATATGTTATTTCTTATATCACACAAAAATATTGTCGAACTTCACGAACGAGACATGGATTTCAGCATCGTCGTTAAACAAAAAAAAAATTGCTCTGAATGAAATCTTTCACGTGATATATCACTCAAAGTTCTACAATAATTGGACCAATTTGTCCATTATCCTTTGACATAAACCTTGCAATGATATCATGATACAAGTATCTTCAGTTCCACAAGCTATCTATTAAATAATTTCTTCTTCTTCTCTATCGTTACGCTCTTGACAGAGCGGTCGTGGCCATCATGTTGTCTCGTTCCTTGTCCTTGTTAGTTTGTGCACTATCTCTCGCCATTTCGCTCTGTTGGCCGTCATTCTGGTGCACTCATGTAGTTGGCCACCCACAGTTGCTTTTATTTGGTCGGTCCATCGCATGGGAGATCTACCACGGGGTCTGGTACCCTCCACTCTGCCCTGCACTACGAGACGTTCAATGGAGACACTTTCTTTCCTGGAGATGTGGTCAAAAAACTTCAAAATGCGGGTTTGAACGATAGCTGACAGTCTCTCCTTGATGCCAAGTTCCTCGAGTATGGAAACGTTCGTACGGAACTCAGTCCACGATACTCCGAGCATCTTTCTCCAGCACCACATCTCCAGGGCGTCGATCGCTTTCCTTTTCTATCTCCCGCAGAGTCCATGTCTCGGCAGCATACAGGAAAATAGGGAAAACAAGAGTTCGAACCAATCGGGTTTTGGTGGCCTTGGTGATATTTCTGTTTCTCCATATCTTCTTAAGCCTGTCCATGGCACTCCTAGTTATAGCCATGCATCGTTTGACTTCTTCGATGCATCCGCCATTGTTCGTGATCAAAGTACCAAGGTATATATATGACTTGACCACTTCACAGTTCGCAATATTCGACTTCTGGCGAGTTATTGTTGACGCGGTCCACAATCATCACTTTTGTCTTGCTGCGATTGACCTTTAATTCGAACTCCAGGCTAACATATTCCATCTTCTGGAGCAGTTCCTCTATGCACTGAGCGCTAGAGGCGAGTAGGGTTGTATCATCGGCGTAACGCAAGTTTGCAATCTTGTAGCCGCCAACCGTGATACGCTCAAGGATGATACGCATTATAAGTTCTGTGTAAGCGTTAAAGAGAAGTGGTGACATTATGCACCCCTGACGGACACCTGCGCTAGGATGGAAGTTGTTCGATAGGATGTCGTCTGTTCGCACTGAGGCAGTTCCTTCTTCATATAATTGCCTCAAAAGGTGTACTAGGTGCTTTGGTGTGCCCATTTCTAGTAAGGTTTTCCATAAGACTGGCTATTTAACAGAATCGAAGGCCTTGGAAAAATCTACAAAGCAGATATAAACGGGTTTGTTAAACTCCCGTGCCTTCTCTATAACTTGGCGCACGATTAAAACTTGCTCCCTAGTTCCTTTGCCCTTCACAAATCCAGCTTGTTCTGGCGCAATCTCCTTTGACAAGAAGGACTTCAATCGCTCATTCAGGATATGAAGCAGGATTTTGCTAGCATGGGCTATGAGTGCAATAAGACGGTAATTTCCACATTTTTTCGTAGAGCCCTTTTTATGCAGAGGTGTAAAGACTGTATGCGTCCATTCTGTTGGCCATACTCCTGTCTGCCATATTTTGTTTCAATGGCCCATGATTTTGAAGACAAAGATTAAATAATTTAAGGACATATAAATCATAAATATAACTTAACGTGACTTTGCGCAATCGAGCTCATAACATTAGTAATTTGAGATTTGGTTCCGAAAATTAATAGTAGGGGAGCCCAAGCGGGGATTTCGGGATTAACTAAAGCGTGGCAGATTAATATACAGGAGGATACCTTGTACCCAGTTAAGTACCTGGACCAAGTTTGAGCCCTATATAATCGGACGCCCGACAAGGACGAAGGATCAGATTAGTAAAAAAAAAATTGATCATCTGAAAATCTCGAGCGCGTCAGATTAAGGTAAGGTGAGCTAGTTACATGCTAAAATGTGTACATACCTCTAATCTGACTATTTGAGAGTGACGTAAAGAAGGGGGAAGGCTACAAAGTTGTAAAAAAAAACGTCACTTTGACATTCACGAGCGTGGCATTTTTTTTTTAATTTTGAAGGGAATTCAAGAATTACGAAAAATATATAATCTGACGATTTTCACAAGCCGAAGTAATAAAAATTCATTGATAAGATTTAATGCGTGCAGCTACGTGATACCTATATTTCCTTCTCCGCATCACTATTTCTCTCTCACTCTTTTTCTATCTATTACTCTCTCACTCCGTCCTCATTCTGGTTTCGGTTGCCATGACGCCATGACAGCTGATGACACAGACTCGTTCGTGGCGTGATATTGTTTACACCGTATTTCCAACGTTTTTGCTTATTTTGTTATTTTAATGTAAATTTTGTGAATTAAACTTTTTACATATTTGCTATGAGTGAAATTAATATAAAGCCACTTGTAATGTAAAGCCACTTGTAAGGGCTGAAAAAATTAAACGATGTCAATCAAGCCAGGATTGTCATCTTCAATAAGGCATATAAAGTAGAAGATACATCACAGCCCTTCTCCTTGAGTATCCGAAATTACAGAAGAGGAAGATGGTTCTAGCGATGAAGATGATAATTAATAAAAATACTGTAAAAAAATAAATTTTCATATAATCATTTTCTTATAAATATAAGTATTCTACATTAAAAATCATACACTTTTTTATTTGCATGCTAACTCCGGAGCTTTTCTATTTAATTAAGTTTAATGATTTGAAAAAATTTAAAAAAAAAATTGATTGTCAGATTAGGTAAATCCCTTCAGATAATCGTCAGATTATGAGATATCACGTCTGGGGCATAAAGATGAACCATATATATCTTAATCTGACGCGCTTGAGTATTTCAAAATGGCGATTTTTTTTGCACATTCTAATAATGGTCTCGCGTTTGCGTTACATCCAAATCGTCAGATTATTATATGTGAGCTTTTTTTACGTTCACTTGACATCTCCTCAAAAAATCTGACGCGCTCGATTTTTTTTTTCATTTTCAACCCTTACGTATAACCACCCCCATCATGGAAACGATCAGATTATCATACGACAGTTTTTAAAAATGCGTAGGACATGGATGATATTAATATCTGACGCGATCGAGTATGTTCATACAACAGTTTATTTTTTACATTTTTAAAAAACCGCTTCCCCCACCGGTGAAAAGATATATATTATATGATTTTTTTTTGTTATTACGATATGCAAGCTTCGCAACCCAATAGGTCTCTATGACGCTCGAGTAAATCCCGATTTAGCATCGTGGGCTCCCCTACTATAACCACTGCCAACTCATATTTACTTGACACTGTACATACATTCATCACTTCCACCTTAACAGTATTTTTACCTGTTATTGCAGAAGGCAGGTGGAGGCATGTCTAGTTATGTTCCTGTGATAATGATGCCAATTAATCCTGCTGATCAATGCCCGTTTGATATGGAATGTGAAGTACAAAAACTCAAGGAAGCAGATTCTAAACAAACATCGAAGAAAACTAAAACCGGAAAGATGGAAGCAACAAAATCAGATTCCGAAAAAGATAAGGACAAGAAGAAATTAAAAAAGAAGGGCTTTGTATTACAACGGCTTACCGATTTTGATTTACTGTCTCAGTGGTAATATTTCCCTTTCAATGTTAAGTTGACAGCTGTTAAAGTAAAATACGTGATTTTTGTTGTACTTTCGTCTTTTGATTGAAAATTACCTATGTATATGTGTGTGATAATAAATGATACAGATAGAACTATCTTTTAATTACTTAGATGTAGTGTTACCGATTACATTGTTATCTTTGCTATAGTAGTTATTATGATTATCAAATATTATTTTGCCAGAATTCAGATGCTCTATGCTTAATGCAGACAAACATTGCAGTCGCATCTGATCGGACCCCAATGTGTTCGTAATGAAACAGCGCTTATGTTGATATATCTTTTTTTATTATCAAATCAAGTGAAATTAACTGGCATCGATATACCTGTTTATACCTGACAACCCAGTAGTTCGTCCAGGTAAATAATAGACAACCCAACGTCTGCACATTCTATATGTTTTATACTTTAAGTCAGAATTAAATTTATCTTATTATCTTGATGTTGGAATATTTAATAAAAAAAAATTTTTTTTTAAATAATTAAATATATTCTGTCTAGGATTTTTTTAGCAAACCCATTTTTAATATATTTTCTAATATACTAAATTAATTATATAATAAGTTTTATTCCATTATCAACCTGGTGAAGGTCGATTTAGGTTCGGATCTTAGACTAGTAGGTATTTTCCTAATTCATTAATACTACAATGCCCCGAAATTTATCCATTACCGACAGAACTCAAATAATCACATTACGTAAAGATGGTTTGAATATTAGTGAGATTTCTAGAGAATTAAATGTGTCCGTAAGTATTGTTATGTCTGACGTGAATTTAATGTAAAATCTCAGACCAAGTCTGAGTGTAAAAAATCATTTTACTTTTTTCTGTTCATATTTTATTTTTGATTATGAAGACAGGCTGTCAGTCTGTGGATAAGACGAGAAAGCGATGAGGGAAATTTGAACGCATGGAGTCGTAGCAGTTGTAGACCTGAAATATCAGATACTCAGCGAGTCTTCATTAGACGGAGTTATGAGGAATCTGACTTTAAACCAACGCGTTATTTTAAAAAGATGGCGATGATCAACCTATATTATTTTTCAAAATGATGAAGATAGCAATAATAACGTGTCCTTGACGTGTCAAAAAATTAATGCAACGGAAAATCAATATTGTTGTTAATTGATGTACACGTGAAGTTCAACCTTAGGGTGGTAGATCACTTTCTTGGCCGACTGTACCTGCTAGTTAAGAAATGGCTAACAGGTAGTACCACAGAACACAGAAAGACTTTAGAAGGGCCTTGTGGGCATGGCAGTGTAGCCACGATCCTGGACAAATGTACAGGATCGTGACTTCACGCAATCGCTATGTTTAGTCATTTACGAACGCGCGCGCTGTTAGTACTGTGAAACACGCCACTAAAAGTGTTAAAAATGCCGACTTGCGTAGTTATTCATTGCAAAACAAGAACCCCATCCTCAAGTAGGTCCATAGGATTCTTTCCATTAGTAAGTAGAACACTTCTCAAATTTAGTATTTTTAGTCGAAATTCGTGAATGTTGACAAAAGTGTGAATCACAAAAAATATTTCCAAGAAAATATACATTGCTGGAGAAGTACGCATATTTATTACATTGCGCCGTACTAAGCAAGTAATGTAAAAAACATCGCGAAATCACCGTTTTAAATAGCAACATAATAGATTACGGTAGATGGCTAGCGAAGTGCCTAGAAACATTTAATCGATACTTGGTGTGTTAGTTACTAAAAACTAAATAAAAGTAAGGACGATAAAAATAGTGGTAATAAAAGATAAATTTAATCACAGATTAACAATAGCAATAAATAAAATGTAACCCTATTCTTGACTACCATATTGACTTCGTTTGGTATGCGTTTGTGTATTAATTTAATAATGAGTGTGGTGTAGCAAAGGAATCTGTTTTTATATTCTAAATATTGTAACAGAAAATTAGTTTTTTTTATATTTATTTTGAACAATTAACAACAATACTTTTTAAATCATCAGAATCCGTTCGGGGTAAGTTCCAATAGTAGTTATTGTATTAATTGTATTTTTTTATTTCGTATACGTTTATTTACATTATATTATTTGTCAATATTACTAGTTTCATTAAGCGATGTTGCCGATCTTATCTGTTTACTTGATACGAAATCGAGTAACGTAACGTAAATAAATTACCTACTATTATTATTTATAAACAAACATACTTATATGCAAATAAATATTTAAGCACGACTAGTACCGATTCAATGTTAGTTCATTATAAGGAAGTGATTTAAATATTTCTTACTGAATCAACCAACTAATTAACAATTTATGTCTAAAGAAAAGAGATAATGTCACATTTAATCAATACAATTCAATATATCCAAAATATCGTAATATAAAGAAATCATTACTTCTGTATCCTTTCATTAAATTGTCTTGTTGTTTTTCAATATCGATAGTAAATAACTTTATGTCAATCACTAGTGTAATATGTCAAATTAAAATGGCTTTTACAGGTTTATTACGCACTCTACATGTCTGTTATGGTTTTCAATATCGATAGTAAATAACTTTATGTCAATCACTAGTGTAATATGTCAAATTAAAATGGCTTTTACAGGTTTATTACGCACTCTAGATGTCTGTTATGGTTGAGCGTGATTGGTTATAGTTATATTGATGCGTTCTGATTGGCACGTTTAAAATGCAAGTGTGTGCATGTCTTTTGTATAATTGGTCTAATATTTCGTCTGATGTATGGCGGACGAAAAGTGGGGCAAGACTGGCGATATCGGTATAATCTCTTTTCCGTGTTCTGTGGGTGGTACGAACGCAAAATATGACGTCACGGAAAAAATTGGGTACTGACAAATTAGTTTAACCTTTGTTCACAAAAGAAAAATTTCAGTAGCTGAAAAGAAACTACATGATGTTTTAGATGTCAACTTCCGATTATATGATATTTGTATAACCCAAAAGTTGCGCTATGATTGTAAGTATTCCTTGTCTACTTGTAGGTCAATGCATTTTACTTTTTGAAACTATCTAATTTGCCCATTTGATTTTAAAAATTGAGAGTAAACGAGTGGAAATATAGGTTAAAATTTTAAAAGAAAAGTTAGATATGCAATGATTAGTTTTGGTTCTACCAAGCATTAATGGTTTTCTTTTAATGCTATCCAAACAAAATTATTTTAAACAAAACTGTGTTAATATGTATCGATATTGATAATGATGCATACTATGTATAAAGGAAAATATAACAATATAGAATACTTAAGAAACGAATTTATATTCTTAAACTCTTTAAAAAACTTATTTTATTGTGATCCTTCCCAGTAAATCGTTAAGTTTCCATAAATAATATAGAAATAGCATAAAGGTACTTTCCTATCAAGAATCAACGATTGTAATTTTTTGTAATTTAAAGCAGCAAATTTTCTCACAAAACTTTTAGGCATGATTTTCTTTTCATAAACAAGGTTTTAGAAGTCACATATATAATTTTCTTGCTATATTAAAAAAAGTAAGACGTACGGGTGGTACGGGCAATCGTATGACTGCTGATCTACCTCAGAATCCAGTCAGAATCCCAGCGCTAAACATGGCCGTTTGTCACGGGCGAATAGCTCGTGATGTCACACCAAAATATTGGTGATATAAATTGATATGAATTGAAGAAATATTATCTATCCCTTATTCATATGGTATTAATTAGACTCTTTACTCATGACTCGATGCGATGCAATTCGACATCAATGAGCGATATCTTACGAAACACAAGCCCGAATAAAATGTAGAATCGTAAGTTTACTATAAGAATGCATAATCTGTCGATATCGGTCACAAATCTCCTCGACATCGAATTGTATTTATATACGTACTAATGGTCTGCGATATCGATTTAAATGTATTAGGGTTAGGATTCAATGCTCAATCTGCAGAGCGATTCTGTAAAAATCCGAACCCGAAATCAGATTCACTTATGTGGCCAAATTCATGTAATTTAGTGAAATTTTGAAGTGGATTTGGACAACTGAATGAATTCTAATTTTTGTTTGGATTTTTACAGAATCGGAAATTTTTACAGAAATTACAGAATTTACTAGCTGTTCGGTTAAATTGAGGAGCGATTGAGGTGATGAGATGAGGAGGAGACAGAAGAGGAGAAGAAAGCAAAAACCCAACAAACCCGCACCACCTTGCCCTATCCTGCAACGCCTGTCCCGCCTCACCCCGTTTAGTCAAATCAAAAAAAATATCACCCATCCAATTCCCAGCTTTTGCGAACGTCGCGTAATCTTCGCAATCGCACCACCCCACCTAGGGTTGCCAGATGGTCGGGATTCATCTGGATTTAGGTGTTTAAATGTTATACCATTATTTTGTGATCTTATAAATTGAAAAAAAGTAGACACTTTTTATTATTAAAAAATTTAATAAATTAAAAGTGGATTTTATTAGTTTTTGTCCCGACTGTGATTCCAAAATCCCGACTTTTTCAAATTTTGTCCAGATATTTTAGTCTCGCTATCTGGCAACCCTAACCCCACCCTATCCTGCAACGCCTGTCCCACCCCACTTGGCTCAGACAAATAAAAGAAATTGATCACCTATCCTATTACCGGCCCTCGCGAACGGTAGCTTAATCTTCACAATCGCACTACCCCGTCTTGTCCCACAACGCCTGCTCCAACCCCTCGCCGCTCAGTTAAATAAATGAAATTGATCGGCCATGTTGTTGTCGGCCTTTACGAACGTTGCTTAATCTTTGCATTCGCACCACTGTTCTGCTCCGCAACACCTAGCTTTTCGACTCTATTTGAGTTACCCTCTTTAACTTTATAATGTTTGTGATGCTTAATATTTAAATATTTTAAAAACAACAGTCTGTTTAGTTTACTAAAATCCAAATGGTTCCGGTAAGCATTCCGGTTAAAATATTGATTTACTGATCCGATTCGCATATATCGATTTAAAAAATCGTACACTTATGCCTCAGTAATCGATTATTCTTTCTCATTCGACATCGGAGACCTGCATCCCTAAAATTTGATTACTCTATGGTTGATGGCCGACCACGGTGTTGCACGGTGTTTGAAGACGATGAAATAGGCTGTACGGACATTGCCTATTTTTTTTTAACAGTCTATTTAATTAATGATGTGTCCAAAATAATTAATAAATAAAACTAATGTGGTTCTCAACGGTCTAGTTAGTATAAAGGTAAGAGGTTTTTTGATCATACATGTAGTGTACGTAATTGGTTTCTCATCCCACTTTTTATGTTTTCACATCTTTCATTTCAAAACCCCAGATAGAGCTATTCAACTGGGATGCGTTTCTGCGCATCCAACTAGACCTAGTTTATATAGGTCAGCATTGAGCTAGCCTGTTTGTAGGTACCGAAAAGAATGCAAAGGTCAGTGAATTTCGCCTCAAATCGTGTGATACACTATATTTTTTTCATGGACAAATACCAGTGAATCCTTCTGTTGTAAAAAAAAAAGTTTCTCACGCTTAGGGTCCTTTGTCGAAACCGTTTTTGTTAAAGACGTGATTATCAAACACACATGTGTCGACTTCCTGCATTGAAGTTTAGGAAATAATTGTTTAATGGTTATACACGTTTGTGTTTCGTAGGTTATTTCAATGTAAGTTATTGTTTTGTCCATAAATCGTGTTTGGTTATCTTAGTAATATTAGTGGTTGTTTGTTTCTTTCTCAACTGCAAAAATATGGTCCATATGATTGTATTGGCCTTGATTGTGACATTGATGCTAGCTTAGATGCTGTCTGAGCTATTTAGTGTAAAGTGACCTTACTCATAAAATCCCCTGTAATTCTTTTCAATTGTATGTCAGTTGCAGCTCATAACCAGTATTTTGTGATTATGGGAATTATGTTTCCTGGTCCCTGATCTAACAATTTAACAACATGATGCTATTTCATTGCATGCTCGTCCTTTTTTCTATTTATACCTATTTTTTTTTTTACTCAAAATTTCATGATAGGTGTGGATATAGGAAATTTATTAAAATTTACTTTCTCATAATTAAGTGTGCTTCATTTAAATTATTGTATTTGTGAGGTAAATAGAACCATACAATAGAACTGTGTCCTACAAGTGAAAATACAGATATTTGTTATAGATTTGGAAAATATGAATAATTATAAATTATAAATATATAATTATTTGAAAAATATTGTTTTGGAAACAATATTTTATTTATTACATATGTTTTGTGCTACTAGTCTGCAAATTATGATGTCACTTCATGGCTTGAATTTGTAGAAATGTTCTGCAGCCGACTAGCAGTATTTCCACAAATATAGCATCATATCTCCATTGCACCAAAGCACCAAAACTATTAATTGTAGACATTTTATATAAGTAGTCAACTAGCCTATTGTAATAATGTATGCTTACATATATGGTGAGATACATATAGGTACTTCATCTATATGGTTATGAAAGACATAGGTTATATGTGAAATAATAGCATATAAATTTTATTTATAATGCAAAATGCTTAAAAGATCCAGTTTGTTCCTCGCACTCTGAAATAACCAACCCATAATGCCCGAAACAATGTGTTTTTTTGAAGCATTTTTCTTTAAGAATATTCTTCAGTATTGCATTGTGAATGCAAAATTGATCAAATATAATAATAAGAAGAAATTTTCGTCTTTATCAAAAGTATAAATATTTGTGAAAATATTTCTTTTGGCTTTTTTGGGAGGATTGCCAGAACATTGATGAAAATACACTCTGTAGTGGAGAGAAAGAGGACATTACTGCAACATTGTCCACCAGTATGGAGCAATAGCACATACAGTAAACAGTCACAAAAATGTCAAAAATTGTTAATATAATACAATATTAAAAACTATACAATCATTTTAAATTGTAGAAAAAAAAAACATTTTCAAAATGGCTGGAACAACTTATATTTAAGCATCATATTTGCTATATAGTCAAATGCTTTATAATAGCTTTCTCAATAGTAAAGTTTAACTAATTTTTATTGAATTGTAATATATTTCTCTGGACTTTATTATACAGAAATTTATTTTTATATCTAGTAACAAAATTTTGTATATCTCTTTTTATAGAAAACAAATTAATATTTTAAAAAGGTCATTAAGTTCTCATATATGTACTGAGAAGAAACAGCCATTTCAGTCTATTTCTCTAATCTTTTCTCTTAATAGATCCACGACTCTAAGATTATAAACTGATTGAATAATTCTCTTCTGCAACACAGAATCATTTGTATGTCAGCAGCATTTCCCCACAATAAAATTCTATACAAAATTAAGACTATGAAAGTAACTAAGAAGATAATTTTTTTATATCATTATGTAAGGAATAATCCTCTTTTAAGTTTACATTTTCATTTTGTGATTATCCCTTGTGAAATATGGGAAGTTATTTATATACATCAAAATCAAGAAAAGACCAAGGATAGAGTCCTATCAAACATCTATCTTAATCAACTCTGTACTCTGTCACTCAAATATGAGTTGAAGAAGTGCATTGTTTTTACGACTTTTTTACTTTCTATAAAGAAAAAACCTGAAGATTTTTTAATGGTAAAGATTACAAGTAAGATTTGCCTTACAATATATAATCTTATAATATCTGTTTTATATTTTTCCCTAAGAATAACATAACATTTTATTATGGTCTTATGATGTATTAATATAATGTTTTTGGTACACCACACATTTGCAAATTGTAATTAGTTTAAAGCGACATTTGCCTAGTTGCACAAACATTTGTTAAAGGCCAGTTTCTGATTTAGAAAAATACTAATCTGAACTTATGTTTTTTTATGTTTCACATGGCACAAAGTCCTAGTTTTATTAAGCTGCTATGAACTTATGTAAAAAAATTAAGTTATGTTTAAGATGGTTTAAGCATGGTTTGAGACATGCTTAACTTTAAATTCTCTATTCAGAAACTGGGTGTAAGTAAGGTTAAATGATGACTACATAAATTCTAATGAATATTCTAAATTTGAAAATTTGTTTTACCAATGAGCTCATTATAGATACAAATAATCAAATTTAGAACATCAATTAGAGTTTATAGTTGCCCTGAAAACTTAAAGTTTATGCAATTGTGTGTATTATAGATATTTTTCAAAGATTATTTATTACAATTACATAATGATATAACATTTTATTACGCAAACTAGTCTAAATTTAGCTGTAAATTTCAAACTGTGTTTTCAATAATGTAAACAACTGAGATAAAAGAGGTAGAATTATTATAGGATAAAAGAATATAATTATATTTCTTAGATTACTTGCTCCTACATAAAATACCAATAATACGATTATGTTAATGACAATAACATCAATCAATTGACACTGTTATACATATTTAAATTTTACTTTTTTATTGCGTTAAATGTACAATTAATATATACTTATATTTAAGACAATTTTCTGTTTTAGATTTCCTGTCCATGCACCACTAAATTTGAGAGAAATAGTTGTAAGTAAAATCTTTATTTAAGAAAATAAGATACTTATTTTTTAATTGAAGTAATTTTATGATCATACCTTTTGTATTAATATTGATATGTTGATAATGTTCTTTACATTAAGTTTAATAAAATTTTATACAGACTGCATAAATAATAGTGATTGTTGTAACTTGTAGCCTCAAATAGTGATAGGCTGTACCCTACATAAAGGGTAATATCAAATCCATGTTACTTATCATATTCATACTATGGCACTTGTATGATTTTGAAGTAGAATTTTTCCTATTAATATCCAAACCATGTTAATACATAAACTATATTAGTCGTAAGTATGTTCTACTGACATTTTTCAAATCAGAATTGCCTGAGAAAGCTAAAATGGGTTTATCACAATGTCAGTTTTTTTTATCATTAAAAACATGCTCAAATATAATTTAATTTAATTGCAGTTCAAAATACAGTTTAGGATGGATCCACCATGTTCACATTCCAAGTGTGACATATATGAGGGGACTAACCAAGTCCCCTTCGACAGCAATGCAGAGGATAAGACTGATAGTGGTACCAATACGGTAGAAAAAGAAATTAACACTCAAAGTAGCGTAAGGCAAATTATTGATGATATCGAACGTGAGGATTTTGAAGAGGAGAATCGTATAATTAATCAGTGCACGAGTATGATAGTGGAGGGTAAAAGTTCCACAACTGCACCCTTCTCTGGCAGCCTCAGTGTCAATTCTAGCCTTGCGTCCAGCTCAGAAACAATTTCTACATTTTCTGCAGCAAACGACTACAGCTTACCAGGCTGCAGCAAGAGTGCTCCATGCGAGGACAGTAACGCCACGATTAAAAATATGATTCACTCTCGAAAACCATTAACGGCGGAAGAGCCGAAAGTAGATTTTATGAAGAAACTTTTGAGCAGCAATACTCATGAGAAAAAAGACTTTCCCAAAGGAAAAATGTACAAAGCTGAACCTGAAATAGAAACCGAAGCTAGTGCCTGTGGGATAGAGGCTGCGTCTGGAAGGACAAGCTCAAACGCTTCTAACAGTAGCTCCCTTTCAGACAGTACAAAAGACTTCAGTGTTCCGTCTACATCTAATGCTGAGAAGTTACTGGGCTTGAGTGATAACAATAGGAAAAGCGAACCTGGTAGTTCCAAATCATCGGTGAGATTCTGACATGATCTTATGTGTTTTTGAATATAGTCTATTCTGATTTTATAAATGCTCATGTTTGTTTAGACCTATATGCAGTACTGTGATGGTGAAGAGGACTCTGATGATGATGTGGATGAAGAATCGTGGTGTACCTGCCTCTCTTCCCATGAGGTAATAGCTGACTGGATGTGTGGGAATTATCTTAATCTTTTAAGGTCAAAAAACAAGATGATAAACTCAATTTTATTTCCAGGACGATGATGAAGATGATCCCGAGCCAGAACCTGAGAGACTGTGGGTGAGTATTGCTGACGGTGATTCTATTATTTAAATATATACTAGAAAAATCCCGAAGGTTATATTACCACTATGATTGAACTTTACACAGTAAACATGTAGCCATGTTTTATTGATAGACAATCTAAATAAGATTGTGTAGCACCGTGGTCCGACTGAATATTGTAATAGGATTATTGCTAATACAAAACATTTTAACCTCTTTAGTCAAAATGATTTAGTCTATTCCACAGTATTGTACAAAGCTGATGTTATTTTTGTTTTTGTTATTGTATTGCAGAGGAAAAGGAGATACGAACCGCCGCCGCCGCAATGCGCTAAAAAATTCTGTCCTGATGGTAGTCGATGCATACAGGACAGCAGCTGGTCCCGCAATCTTAATGGGAATATGCCAGGATCAACTGTTGTCCAGGGACCGCCAGAGATAGAACAGTGGCTAAGCAGGTATGATATTTGTTTTAATATTTGTTTTTGTTACATAGTAATATACATCTTTTTAACTGTTTCCTGTTTTGATATTTTTATATGTAAAAGTGATACATATACAGGTATACATTATATCTTAAAATTTCACTATAGGTTATATGGCTTGCGGTCACATATCTATTAGTTATAGATATTGTGCTTTGCCATTACAGTAATTTCATTGTGACATTATTTGTTGGTAAAATAAAGAAAAACAACAATGATATATTAAAATACTCTTGTGTCCATTTAATTGACATTAATATCTTGTCTTTAATGTCAAGGCAAATTTAGAATTTCCTCCTCTATATTGCATTGTATTTCAATTGTATTATCGTTGAAATATACTGTGTTACTAATATAAATATTTATGATCATATTATTATAATCACCGAAAACTATTGGTATTTTTTTTTTCATATCCCTCTTACATCCTATGTATCTAAATGGAAATAGTTTAACTATTTAGCTTTGAATGTTATAAGAGTTTTGTAATACAAAAGGAAAAACTCAGTCATTTACTGCCCGTACTTCTGTCCATCTGACACATTTTTTTGCACTATTTGTTTAGTAAAAAATTGTAATTTAGTACACAGTTTACTCAAAATTCGTAACTAAAGCGTGACTTAATAATTTGGTGGTAAATTAGAATATATAGTATAAAACGGACTTCAGTTGAGAATCTCAAAATTTTTTTTATAAATGAGTTACAAACATATTAAAAAGATTTCTTCTGTAAAATATATTATATCTATAAGAGGTCTATTTATAGTTTTTAAAATGTAAGTAATATCGTCTTTTACTTGGTCGGTATTTTTCTGTTTTGCTCTTTCATAAGCGATGTTTTATTCATCTGCTAAGTTATCTATAATTTATAGAGGTACATTTTGCAGAACTAGTATTTAATATGAAACAGTTGCCATTATCTTAATCGGTTTCAATAAGAGCATCTCACAGGGATACAGTATCTGAGCCCATAGTCATATAGACAGCGCTATGTTTCTATTACTTTGAACTTTACCATTGTCACTAATTTAAATATATTTTTTTTAATATTCAATTACAATGTTCGAACGATTTAATGTTGTGTCACATCTGGTATAGCCACAGTGAGTCTTTGTTAATAATAACTATTAATATGTACCTACATTCACAATTCTGTTATTATTATATTAGCTTTTCTTGTATTTTGATATTTGTTAGTTCTCACATTATAATATTTTTATTAAACATACATTTTTGGGGTGGCTTTGGGATTTGAATGATCTAGAAAAATAGCTACTTGTGTATGGCAATTTTGATATTTTTTTGTTTAGTTTATTCTATATAGGACTACCGTGGAAAAGTTATATCGTCGCCACGTAAATAACACATTTTCTTTTTACCTGGCATTAGTTGAAAGTTTGAAAACAGAAAAAATAATATAAAATACACAAAATATGTCATTTATTAAATTTAAATACCATAGACATAAAATATTATTCATTAAAGCATGTATATTATTATTTTTTTCTCAGTAAAAATGCGTTGCCTATGCACTATTCTTCTTGCTTCTTCAGACATAGGGGTGTAGATTACTTCTTTAAATACCTATTTATATTTTATAGATATATGTGAAATATGTAAAAATATGTTAAAAAATATATCATTAAAATCTAAAAAAAAAAAATCTTTAAGTTCTGATAATAGTAAGAGGGTCGTGAGCGTGACGTCGCGCTCTGCTTGCGGTTACGTGACAAAGATATATTTTTTATTTAACATAATTTATTTAAGTTATATTATAAAAGTGTGATTATCTATATTAGTATATTAAACACTACCAAAAAAAAATATGTATTTATTTTCGTACTGACTCCATCCGTTTTGCATTACACACAAAAAATTATGTTAACATGCTGAATTGTAATTATGTATTATTATGTAATTATTTTTTATCTAATTTTATTACAGTGAAACTTTACAGTAAAAGTATATCGTCTTTCATTTAACTTATTTTAAAGAGTATTGGCGACAGACCAAAATGTCTATTTTCCTTCCTCCAATTTATTGTGAGCTTTAATCTGTTAACAATTAAGTTTTGGATTTGGCATTTTGTAAGAACCTGATGCTTTGCTGTGTGCACATGACTAAGGTTTTCTGTTAATCATATTTAACTTAATTTCAGGTTTCAAACTTGGTCGAACAATGAAAAGAATCAAGCGATCGATGCGTTGATCAGCCGCTGCACTGCCAGCCACGTCAGATACATGATGGAGTCTATAGAGCCGCTGTTCCAGAGGGACTTCATATCCTTGCTGCCGAAAGAATTGGCATTGACCGTTCTGGGATACTTACAGCCCAAGGACTTGTTGAGAGCAGCACGCACCTGCCGTTATTGGAGGTAAATTATTTACTTTTTGTAATCCTTGTTTTATATCTAGATAATTAAGAAGAATACAGGTATAAAAGAATTACTTCCTGAGGGATTACGTATTTAAATAAGAATTTGATAATTTACAAAAAAAGGAATAGGTGAAAGTCCGATATTTACTATCAGTTACAGTCAAGGTATCTCAGAAATGGCTGTTTTTTTTAATGAAGAACAATCGAACTCTAGTCCATTTGCAATGTCAACTATAATAAAATTATTGGTACTAGTTTAATTCGAACATTTATAAGTTTATGAATCTCCACAGCCGAGGGGTAAGTACGCCGGCTTCATTGTGACTATCTTTATTTCGAATGTTTGAATACAGAATAGAGGCATTTCAGAATTATAAAAATTTGTCAATTGTGCTTGGTTTCATTGTAGGCAAATATTAATATTTTATAATGCAGAATAGTTAGCAGTGGGAACAATTCACCATCAGTGACTGACAATACACACATCATTGTTGTGTCTGGAATCCCCACAATAACATTGATAATTCCAAGAAACGATACAATGGCAACCAAGTGAGCATTTTAAAGAAACTAGTCTGCTTCAGCTGTTTATTGCGAATTGTATTTGTTTTGACTATGATTTTTCGAGACACGTGATGTATGTGTTCATTATTATCAATATTTATATACTATATTAAAAATAAAACATAAAGAATTTTCCATCTGATTACTTAATGTTTGTTCTAGTTTGTTGATGTTTAGCATCATTACATATATAAAGTCGATTACGCAAACATCGAATTCGACGCGCATATGAAATGGGTGTTTCGGATTACTTTTATTCTAGATAACGGGATAATATTTCTTAAACTACAAAATTAACTTTGAGCATCTCGACCACTAATGAACATGGAATGATTTGGTGTTGCCCGGTAACTTAAAGGTGTTAGTGGGTGTCGTCTCGTACTATACAATACAAAGAATATCGTATTAAACAATACAAATAATTTATTTTGACATGTTCTTATTACGGTATACTGTGTTATGGCCAAACAGCTATAATTGGAAAATATTATTTTATTTATTTAAAACTAAAATCTTTGTCTGAACGTTCTGACAGTTCCATTAGTAACCACTAATGTTGACTATTTCATACATATATATTTATGAAATATACGTGGTGTCAAATTTTTGTTCGAGGTCCTATTGAACAGCAGAACCAGTGGATATAATTGAAGAGGTGTACTGACGATTTGCATAAGTTATTAAGACAAAATATATCGTGCGTGGCATAATCTTGATTGATCTAATTATAATTTCGCATAATTTTAACTATATTTTCCACGTCATTCTTAATAGAGAGGTAATTTTCACATTTTTGTACTAGATAAATAAACAAATTAAGAGCATAAACAGCAAGCAAATCTGCTACCTAGCTCATAATTTGAAACTATGAATGAAAAAACACATTTATGAATACAGAATGTACTAAATGCTCGAAGTTAATTTTTTAAAACTAACACTGAAATTGAAACGGATATTTTATATAATGATATAACTTATTAGTAATAGATTGGGCAGTAAGTTTCTTCGAATTTTATATGAAAATTTACAATATGCTTTAATAAAGTTCATTTACATTACAGTTACGTAATAAAGCCCAGTTCTTTAGTTACGTCGTAAATACTGATATGTCGATCTGCGCCACTTTTACAAAAATGCGTCAGAAAAAGGAGTGACATGCGTCTTTGACATCAAAATTTCCGGATTTAAAACGCTTAAACAAATTGGTGCTACTCTCACATAATCTTTATACTGAAACTTCTCTAAGTCCATAAACGTCACAAATTTTTTCGCCTTTTACCTATTTTGTAATAAAATTTTAAAATGTACGAATTTCTTCAATAGATTCACTCATTTCGACAGTAAGAAAAACAAATGAAAATCACAAATTTTTCTAATTTGAAATCGGAGTTAAAAATATCGACTTTTTAATAATACCGAAACCAGCCAGATACAAATGGTATAGCCAGAAAGATTTTATTACAAGTTTATGTATACTACATGCGAAAAGAGTTATTCTTCAACATAATTGTTTTGACAGAGGGATTCCACTTCAGTATAGAAAAAAAAACGAAATTCGCCGAAATACTTTATTTTCAGATTTTTAGCGGATGACAACCTTCTATGGAAGGAACAGTGTCGGCGAATTGGTATCACGACCCTAAAGAAAATGCCCCGGTCTCTACCTCGTTGCGCTAGCCCGTGGAAGGCGGCGTATATGCGCCATTACCTCATCGAGAACAACTGGCTCCATAAGCCGGTCACCAATCCGATAGTGATGCGCGGACATGACGAGCATGTCATCACATGCTTGCAGTTCTACGGGAACCGTATCTTGAGTGGCAGCGACGATACCACTTTGAAAATCTGGTCTGCGGTTACTGGGAAGGTCAGTTTATTTTATTATAGTAATAAGAACTAGAATATCAGATTTTTATTCAATAAGAATTAGGTTGCCTTTTCATTATATACTGCACATGTGATATTTCACGAGTAGCTCGGTGGCGTAGTGGATAAGCGCCGCAGCCCACGATCGTAGTCGTTAAGCAATTTTCGCCAGGGTCGGTGACGGGATGGATGACAGAATTTTTTTTATCTCGAGCTACTCCGTGCTTCGGAAGGCACGTTAAGCCCTTGATCCCGGCTGCGTTTGCAGTCGTTAATACCCTCCAATGCGCATTGGGCCAGCGTGGAGGGTCATGGTTCATCCTCCTTAACCATCCATAAGGAAGGCCTGAGACCCTGCAGTGGGGACGTAAACGGGCTGGTGATGATGATGACAATGATGATATTTCAAATACCAGGGTACTTATGCTGTTAATAGACCGGGAGTTTGGAAATTTTAATAGTTACAAGTTCTTTACTTTGAGTGGGTCGGACTTACTCTTTCTGCTTCATTGCACCGCACATCTAGATAGATTTTCTAAGTACCGTTAGAGGTGTATATTTTGAGATTTTGTTTTGTTATATAGTTGTTTTGTTAAGTTTGCTGATCTTTTACGTAAGTAATATCAACTACTAACTCTTATTTACCTAATGGAAAATTAATCCTTTAAATATTAATAACTTTGAAGCGGACTGCTAGTACTGGCAAAATTATCAAGCATGGTTAAGAGCTTAGAATTTTTATTTTCAGTAAAAGCGTAAGATTGAGTCATATCATATATCACTTATGACGTTTCGCGTCCAATAATTACACATCCCGTCTTTCGTCAGATATGCACGAACCTTTATATCGTTATTTTCATTTTTTGTAACGTAGAATTTGTCTGTTCATGTTTTGATTTAATTACTGTTTGTTAATCAGTGTCTTCGTACGCTGGTGGGTCATTCTGGTGGTGTGTGGTCATCACAAATGGTGGGTGATCTGGTGATCAGCGGCTCCACTGATCGCACCCTGCGCGTCTGGAACGCCAAGACTGGCCAGTGTCTTAAGGTGCTAGCCGGCCACACGTCCACCGTTCGGTGCATGCATCTGTACCAGAACAGGTGAGTGTATATCTTTACAATCATGTCTAGTATACTGTACTCAGTAACGGCTGTCCGTTATCATACATTTGTGTAATAATATACCAAGTTAAATGACCTGTTTAAATTTAACTGCTAAATTATGGATAATTTAATATGATAATTTTTTCATAAAATATATAAAATGAAATTAACATGTCTTATAACAATGATTGAAAATATAAATAGTTTGTCATTGTAAAACAAAGTGAAGGCTATTGAATACATGCATTGTGATCCTTTATATTATCATTAACCTTATAATATCTTCACTCTTATGAGTGAACCTATGTACATCTTTGTAATTACTTTAATTTTTTCACTACCGGCACACGTAGTATGATAAACTTGAAAAACGCTTTATGTACACCAGACGTGACTTTTATCGGGTCAAGGGTGACATTTCGTATTGTCGCACCGGAGAAAAGTGTTATTTGGGTGTAGACATTACTTTCTCCAATTCCTGAAACAACCTTCATGGTATACAGTAAATACTAGTAATTAACTTAAGTGTTTAGTGGTAAGAACAGGAAACTCTAATGGTAGCATTTCATGAGCGGTCAAAAGAGCATTCACAAAAAGAATTGGTGTAATATTAAATAAAGCAAAGACACGAATGACATCTTAAAAAAGAGTAAATGAAATGCAGATACTAAGAGATCACTGGCGATAAGTAATTGCTGAAAGGGTACATTCCATAGTGAAGTGTATGCGCTTCATAGCATCCTTCCATTTCCGTCCAGTATGTAACATACTTCTTAAAAAGACGATTAATGAGATTCCAGTTTCGAATCCTAGTGGAAACTTATGCTAGTTTGTACTGTTGGCATATCTTTTTATATAATGACTAAACGCTTTTATAACTTATTTATATGTTACTTAAAATATTAAGTGTGTTTATACAATGCACTCTCACTACGATGAAAATTATGTGGTCAATACTCACGTTAATAATTTAAAAAATTATAAATCTTATTATAAATATGGTGATGCAATGCGAAATATTATAGCTAAAATGTATGTGGACTATCAAAAAACCTAGTTTTATATTTTGGTTATGTAATAATGATTTATATTTCTATATCAAGAAATTACTGTTTCATGTAAGGGGTCGTCCATTAATCACGTGATGTTTTTTCAAAATTTTTGACCCTTATATAAGTTTCCTCTGGTTTTCGTATTATTAGAAAGTTTCATATTAATTTTCCACTAGTTAAGAACTAATTTATCTATTAAGTTTTGTACTATATATATTTTGTGTGTTTAACTTAAGTTGCGTTGGTGTTAATTAGAGGACGTTTCAGCGCTTTCTCAATTTTGAATTAGCTGCATTCTCAATATATTTTGATAGTGGAATGACTGAAGGATCCTTTATTGTGTACTGCGTGTTTGTAAAACAACAGCTATCACGGAGAATAAGTATATAACCTAAAAATAACCTAAATTAGTTATTTCTTTATTTATCATAGTTTAGTTATATAACATAACCATTTAATTAGGTAATATCAACTAATATATATCGACGCTGGAAAGCAAACACGTAGTAACCCGCAAAACCAAAATTGATCTTCAAAGCAGAAAAACTTTGATTTTTTTCGATAAATAATTCCTATAAACGTCCATGGTAACAAATAAGATGTTCCTTAGTCAATTTATACAGAAATAAGACATATTTTTTTGAAAAAATCTAAAGATTTTCCATTATAAATATCCATTTTGGTTTTGCAGGTTACTACGTGTTTGCTTTCCAGCGTCGATATATATCATATTTATGTGATATGCTTAAAATTTAGATTTTACAATTACAATGCGAATGCTGCATGTTGCGAATTGTTATTATTAAGAGCCTACTGTGTCCAGTGTTGTAACGTGAGGTTTAGAATTCCATGCTTGTATGGTTGATTAGTTTTGCAAAAAAATAAAAATAAAAAAGTCTTGATTATTTGTGAGATAAAATCCAGCAGTGTTTATGTGATTGAGAATATCCCCATTATTATCAATAATAAATCATATAATTGATGTATGCTGCTTGCGCCGCCCCCTTTAGCCACGCGTCGTGACCTGTTTCACTAATTCACTACGTAAGTCCGTCCAGTCCACTGATTGTTCTGGGTCTCAATGCAGCCACAACCAACGAACGTGTCTTCAAATTCCGATGCGCGGAGTCCTCGTTTTTTTTCCATATTTATAGTCCATTTAATTATCAGCACGTGCGAAATAATATATATAACCCCACAATCCATATCTGTGTTAGGTTAAGTATTTTTCAAAGCCCGAACAGACTTTTATGGAACACAAATTTGTTTCTCTTTTTTCGGAAGTTTTTATTTTTTCGGATAACAATCCAAACTGAGTAGTTTGAGTCAATTTGTTGTGATGAATCTACAGGTATTTATTTACCGCCAAATTATATGGTGTTAATTTTGTCGCGTACAGGGTTGTGTCCGGATCTAGGGATGCGACGTTGCGCGTGTGGTCAATACCGGATGGTCGTTGCCTACGCGTGTTGGTCGGACATCTGGCTGCCGTCCGGTGCGTTCAGTACGATGGGAAGGTTGTCGTGTCCGGGGCGTACGACTACTTCGTCAAAGTGTGGAATCCGGACACCGGTGAATGTTTGTATACACTCACCGGACACACTAATAGAGTGTATAGTTTGCAGGTTAGTTTATTCTTTAGTATTTTATAAGATAAGAAAGATCGTTTTGAAGATGATAAATATTAAATAATTTTCTTTTAATTAATAATGTATCTGCTAAAACAGATAATGTGAACATTATCATATTATAATGAAGTGATTAGGTTGTTGATGGTATAAATGCTTTTTTTTTTTACAAATCTGGATGTCTTCTAAATTAAAACCAATTATTGTTGTCATAGTTTGACGGTGTGCATGTGGTGAGCGGATCATTGGATACATCGATCCGCGTATGGGATGTAGAGTCCGGACAATTAAAGCATACTCTAACCGGACATCAGTCGCTCACATCTGGTATGGAGCTGCACTCTAATATATTGGTGTCCGGTAATGCGGATTCCACAGTCAAAGTGTGGGACATCACTACGGGACACTGTCTGCATACACTATCAGGTTTGTGCTCTTTTTATATTTATAGATAATTATTTAAGCTACCTTATACAATTGTATGTATATCATATAGTCATTGGTCATAGGTAGTTTGCATCAATAAAATAGGCGTAGCTTAAAATAGACGCCAACGAAGGGAATAATGAGAGTGATATTATAAATAATAATTTACGAAGATGTGTGTTTGCTACTCTTTCGAAATATGGTATATGGATAATTCTTAGCTTGTATTAAAGTATAGTCTACTTCCATTAAACGGTTCCCTAGGGATAAATGTACTGTCAACTCCATAGTGTAAACCACGCAGGTGGAGTCGCTGGCGGAAAGCTATATAAATATAGCTAAATATTTGTTATAATATATAAAGCTTTCAACATATAAAACCGCCCTAATTCATTATTAGTTGTTGATAATAGTATTCCACTGTCCCGACGATATCTAATTTAGGTCTTATATTTTTGGAGGTTGTTTACTACATAGAATCATTTAAATCGAAGTGAAGCTAAAGCTAATATAGTTCGATAGTTCATCTTATATTTCCACAATTCATAGGGCCCAACAAACACGAATCGGCCGTAACGTGTCTCCAGTCGAGCAATCGTTTTGTAATCACGTCATCGGACGACGGCACCGTTAAACTATGGGACTTGAGGACGGGCGAGTTCATAAGGAATCTAGTGAAACTGGGCTCGGGCGGGACCGGGGGCGTGGTGTGGCGGATCAGGGCGTCCGCCACCAAACTCATATGCGCCGTCGGATCCAGGAACGGCACGGAGGAGACCAAGCTGCTCGTACTGGACTTCGATGTGCCCGGCGCCTGCAGGAAGTGTGACGAATAGCATCGACTGAACCGGCGCATGTTGCGTCGTTACGCGAACCTATACGCCCCGTGGCATTGCTGAGCCGCAAACACCTCCCCCACATTCCCACCATTCCTCAAAGTAATCCCCACTACATCGTACCCTCATTTAAACCCCACTTCCCCGTACGATCCCAACTAAGATTAATATCCTTCCATATCATCAACTAAATCCTAATATTATTTCAACTAAATCCCACTACCGCCACATGTACACGCACACGGCCTCAATTCTTGTAATGTTGATTTTCATTTTTTTGACATGTTTCTTACATTGTCATTGACGGGACATTAAGTCTCGTGATATTATATTGCTATGTTAAATGTGTCTATATATGTTGCAATTTATTGACGTAATCACAATTATTTATTAGTAACGGTCATATTTCAAGTTAATGAAATTTTGGCCAAAATACTTTCTTTTGAAAGTAAACTATTGACATAATAACCAATGACAACTTCTAAACTATATATCAACCCTCAAGGCATTCTTTGGTACTATCAATAACATTCCTTTTTACTACAACTCTTTACTGCAACATTATACTATTTTTGGCATTAGCAAAATATAGACCAACAGCATATGACATGACAGACACAGCACAGATAAAGTCAATTTGTTGAGTCACTCTTCTTTTTACATGCATCAAACATCTACGTTGTATTAAATAATTTATATACATATTTTGATTGATTACTTTGTAATATTGAAAAGCAGTTAAGAATACCTTAACCTTGTACTTATTATTGTAAAAGTTTCGCCAATGCAAACTTAGGGTGAAAACAACCGGCTTAATGCCTTCAAATATAATGTTACTTAAATAGTATACATGTAATATGATTTTAATTACAATCTTGTTTTCGTAGGTGAGCCGTTTCTTGATAAATACACTACATTCTTCTGTCTGTGGCGACGGTAGTAGAACAGTTCTGAGGCCTTTTCATTTGATATGTATTTTGAAAAAAAAATTGAAAGTACACTATGGACAATGCGCATCATCCATTTTGAATTTGGATTCCTTACTCTTGTACTAGTAGCTAATACATTACACTAACTATTCGCGGGTGAAGGCACATAATCAAAATGCAGGGTTATATGCGAAAAAAAAATTTTAATGAAAACGCATCGAAGCTGTAATGCATCGACGATATTTCAGGTTACCACATAATGTAAAATTTCCGCAAGTGATTTCGAACTCTACACAAACTATTAAGGTTTCAATTCAAGTGGAGGTCTTTTGACAGTTTTGTGTAACTTTACGTTAGCTGTACAATTTTATTTTTTTGTCTGTTGGCTGTACATTTTTTTATACCAAAAAGCAATGCACCTTTGTAAACATTCAAACTTTTTTCTTTCAGTTTAAGTCAGATACACAAAACACCATCCGTTTTGTATTTATTTCAAATAAGCGATATCACTAAATTCAATGAAGTGCAATGTGGGTTGCCGGACATAAGCTAATCTGTGTTAGTGTGGTATGTAAGCTAATCTAAATTTAACATAGTTTAGCTTTTGGTCAGGAACCGTCATTAATGTCTACTACTATTAAAATATATATTTTTTGTAACAGAATAACTCTGCATCACATGAACAAATAAAATTTTGCTTGGTCAAAGTCTAATAATATAAAATGACAATATAGAAAAAAAAAAATTGTTTATCTATCTATACAACTATTGCACTACAATTTTGTAGAAATCCTTATTATATAGGTGTTTATATTTTATGTTGATGTATGTCATCATATCGAAGTTTCAAAAATAAAACCGACTTTAAAAATGTGTAATTACAAAATGGAGTATTTGATCATCAAATTAGTATAGCTTATTACAGTAAAACTCGAAACTGGAAAGTGATTTCGTTAATGACATTACATTGGTGTTTCTACCGTCCTGTTTAAATGTTTGTGTCGTATGCTGCTTTATAGTTTTTTTTTATATGGCAACATTTTGAGCCGGCGATGCCAGTACATTAAATATATATTGTTTCACGTTTATTTAAGCAAGTCTAGCTCGTAATATTTATAAGCAATTCATAGTCGGGGCGTTGGTTTAGATGAATACACGCAAATAACCCACCGGACCGCAAAAACTATGTGAAAAAGTCTATGGACTTACAAATATTTATATATATTTATATGATATGTATAGTATATAGCATTGCGTAAATCAAAGTATGTGCATCTAATAAATGAAAATTTCAAATACCAATAAAAAATAGTTATAATGTTTATTGAAATTTGTTCTGTACATAGAGAGCGGTGGCCGCTTACCATTTCGCTTTGCCAAATTTCTGTAACAAGTTGTAAGCTCCATTATTCCAAAGAATTTATGAAAGTAAATTGGACTAGTTCTTAAGTTTAATATTTTAAGGTGCCTTTGGCAACTTCTGTTGTTGCGCATATATTTTATATATACAATATATATGTATCACTGATATACTTGACACAGTGTCATGGTTCTTGGTTACGTTCATTTTTTTTCCTCCAGGAGTTTATATTTAGTTATGCTTACCTTTTTCTGTTGTGTGTGAGTGTGTTGCCATGATTCTGTAGTTTTGATGCGATGTTTCCTAATTATGACCTTATCTATTCTGGGTATATTATGTCTGGTTTACGTGAATTATTCTGCACAAATACTAATATGTAGTAGATATCTTTGTTTACAATATTTAACAAATTACTGTTAAATTTGCGTTTGACTTGATTCATATTAGAAGAGTAACGAGTTGTTTGCCATGTTGGTTTTATGGTATTGCAATAAATAATAATAATTTGGTTAAGAATGAATACGTTGTTCTATAATTTAATCTACCAATGAAATAACCATTAGTAATAGAAACCCATTATATTGCTTTACCAAAAAAAAATACTAGTTTAACTGCTATGTTATCAAAAGTGCATCCGATATAAACTCCACCTTAGTTGTTACTTTTATTTCACGACTTTGTTATTTATATGATTATTTAATTTTCTGTAATTTAATTATACTTCTTTTTTAATGGTTGACTAGAATATACACTTGCTAAACTTTAAGTTTTCTTTTAAAATGAAATCGAGCATAATATTAGTCAGGATATTTTTAAGAATACCAATTTTTTTTGGACGCTCAGCTTCTAAACATGTTGAGTTTGTCATTTAGACGAAACATCTCTACCGTGTTTTCCCACGAAGTAATTAGTATATCATATACGAATTATTATGATCAAAATGTATAAATACATTATGTATGTATATTTATTTCGTGAAGTTGTATTATATTTCCTTACGCCTTTTTTTTGTGTTCGTATAATATACCCATTGTAATATTGTTTTATTTAATAACATGGTCATTGTTGTGTGTTTATCGAGCGGCTCTAATGTTTTTGTGCATGTTTCGCTCGATTTACATATGCAAATATATAGTAATGATTTTGTTACATTTCTTGTTAGTTAAGATTATATCTTATATCGTATCTGACTCGTGTAAATGGCCAGCAATTTGTCGATTAACTCATAAAATAGTCATCTAAGTTAAAATAATTGATAAATAAAATAATAAAAAAAAAATGCGTAATGAATATATTTCAGATTTGTAAAGGGGGTTCCCAATAGAGCTGTGCGAGGGAGTCCAGCGTTAATCTAGGAATAATTAATCAATGAGATCACAAGATTTAAAAAGAAAATAAAGATTTCTTATTGGTGGATTTTTTCTCTAGTACACCGCTTAGCTGTCACGTACTTGTCCAGCGCGAACGCGCCCTAATGCTATACCGAATTTAAGGTGTAATCGTTATTTTTTTCAATACTTGATGGTGTTGGTACACAATTGTAAGTAATGTACCTACTTAAGTCTTGTGTCTTAAGGATGGTACCGGCGCGAGATAGATGAGTCGCCTTTGCTTATAATATTTATAATAAAAACGCTGTGAAATATATTATATACATTAGTGATTATCGACAATAACACAATAATAATTAATTACATCACAAATAAGTTTATCATGGTTGATCCCTATACATATCCATTGAATTTGAGTGTTGTCGACTTTTAAATGTATGTATATAATTATGTTTTGTTTGTAGTAGGGTTTTTTTTTATGTTAACATTGGAGGCGTGGAAGTGTTATGTTCGCGGGGCAAACTCATCGAGCTCGCTGGTGCTTCGGTCGCGTCTACTTATAGCTGTGTTTGAACATTTGTTGTGTATAAATATTATATTGCCATTGGGGGGCGCGTCACGCCTTTTCTATGATGGCTGTAATAATTAATTAACAAAGACTGAAGTATAGGTATAGTTAATATTAAAAGTATTAAAATGTAGATACTTCTGTACTGCATACCATCACACGCTGTCTTTTAAACATATATCGACTCCGGTTGCGTTAGCTTTTAGCTCCAATTGTACATCGTTGAGCTAATTTAATAACTTTAGTTAGTTTATACCTCATTAAGTTACTGCTGTAGTTTAGTTTTAAGCGCTCGTTAGTTTTGATCAATGCCAAACGGTTTGAGAGTACTTGCGATACACTAACGGGGATTAACTCCATCACCGATATTTTTTATTGTGTATCTGTGGATATATATAGAATTGTATAGTAGTACCTTATTAATGAGTAACCTCGGCATCATCAAGCATGCGATGTCTCTGAAATATATATTTGTTCAGTTATTCCGCATCGAATGTACCTTGTCTCTTTCTACTGATGCGCTTACAATGTCGAGGTCACTTATTTTTTCGGTCGTACTTAGCAGTTTCGTAATTATATTCACGATCGCCGTGTATTCTCTCTTTAAAATATAGAATTGACAAAATGTACTAAGCGACCATTATATTTCACACGATTGTTCCTGAGCTGCCGCCGGAGCCACGGCCACTTGTACGTGTGAGTGTGCGTGTGTATGTTGTATATTAATATTGTTAATTAATTCGTAATTGTATTGTATTCCTAATTACTTAGGTGCTCGGGATTTGTAAATTAATATTTTGATAATATGGTATATGAATTCTAATGTGTATTAGTATTCTTTAAACTTGTTTAAATCACTTCTAAATTGTCATTCACCTTATTTTAAACTGATATATTGCCTTTGTAACTATTTCGATTCTATTCATTCATTATTTTATAGATTAGTGTTCACATGTATTGAGCGATTTTCAACAGTTTAAGTAGAGCAAGTCGGGATGCAATATTGCTATTGTTGTTTTTTTTTTCTCTAAGTGTTTCCAACACCGTTTATGTGAAATATAATTTCTTTTTAATCAAAAATGTTAAGATCGCTCTGTATATGAATGTTATGGTTATTATAATTTAAATATGAATCTGTACAATTGTATCAATTTTTATTATTTTTTTCCATTTTTATTTAGTGCGAATGTAGAATCGTGGCTCCAGTGTGCACCGGGCTTTAGTTATAAAACACATCTTCGGCTGATTATCAATACATTAAATCAGGTTGTTCCAATTAAATGCTTAGTTTTCTTTCTTCTTTTTTTCTACAGTTTTGGGCGCAATATACACAATCGTATATACTTACGTAAACGTTTTAATATTGTGCGTGATGCGCAAGGTAACCATTTATTGTTTAATATTATTTTTCGTCATTTCTTTAATCTTGCTTTCAATGTATGACTATTAATTAATAAATTCAATTGTTTTCGATATCTATTTTTTTTTTTTGTGACACGCCGACATCCCTGTCGTGTGTTGTGCTTCAACTTCCCTAGAAGACTGTTAAAAAATTAAATTAGAAAAACACTAGAAAATTATAAAGATTTTGCGCCAATGCATTTTTTTCTTTTTAGCCACACACTTTGTTACCAAGGTCCAAATGTACACTTTGAAGGTTTACGTTTAACTGATTTTATTGGATACCTAGTTCAAAAACAATGGATTACCACAAATTACAATAACGGTATCTTATGCAAGCAAACGACAGAGAACGCCATTGCTATTGGAACTTGAAAATAGAATTCTATGTTTGAAATGAAACCAACCAATCATTACTATTAGCTTAAATAGAGGTTACTTCCAGTTCTCCGATCGGTCGGCAGTGAGATTTTTTTCTCAATCTTCCGATTAAAGGGCTGTCCGCATCGCGATTATTAATGGCGTGGATTTTATTTCAATGACATACCTTGTTCGCATTGTGATTAAATTTCGCGCGATTTTTGTCAGTTTTGTGTAGCTTCCGGGCTCGACGAACGTCTAAAAAAGTACGAGTCAAAAAGTGTAAGGTTACGTACCGGAAACGAGCAAAAAAACAATACAACAATTTTGATTTGAGGCCCCTTCAATATTAATTTCATTCTGGTTTTTAATATTAGTGAAAATTTCAACAGTCAATTTTCACTGTTCATGATGAACCTTTTTACCCTTTGGGCACGGAACCCTAAAAATGAACTGCAGAACAATTTTAATTTTGTTTCATTCAATTCAATGTATATTTCTTTCCACAACTGTCTTACACTTCACATTCTTATGCAGTCACGTTTTCATGTGTTATGAATTTTAGGTTAAGTGAAGGCATAAGCAAAGCTACGTAGCTCTCTTTATCTTATATTTTACTTAGAGCGACCATTATCAGGTAACATCGAGAGAGGTCCCATCTACATTTGAGAAGGCGCAAATATATCGTACGAAGAGAAAAAGGACATTGATTAGCTAACCAGCGACAACTATGGAACACTAGATTATTATACTAATATATCTACGACAAGGCAACTGTGATTATTATTATTATTATTAGTACGTCAAGAATGCGACTTTAAAACAATAGCAATTTTTGAAATCGCACAAATTAATATAAAAGACATAAATATAAAGTGGGACGTAGACAATTATCTCTGCATTTTGCGATTCAAATGGGAATTAATTGTTAAATTACATTGGGTACTTGAAACTTTATACGAATCTTCTGATGAAAACCATGTCACCATATTCAACTATATCGAACATCAATAGGTATGATTAACTCAAAAAAAACTTAACTCTAACATCTGGTAAAATTCGCACTATCAACGTATAAGTTACCCCAATAGCAGTAAGTATTAGTGAATATGCATATAAAGCTGGAACACATGATACCACCAACTACGCAATCGGAAGTCCAATGTTTCCTTCATGTTTCCACCATGGAGTATTAGATATGCGAAAATTCATCAAAGACTAAATTACTGCCTAAACGATTTTATGAAAAAAAAAACAAAAAATCCGACAGCTGCGTGAAAACAAAATAAAGCAGTGAAAAAATATATAATTACTTTCAATAAAAAGAAAAAAGCGAGTAATTACTTACTATTAAGTTCAATGAAGCAGTTATTTAGTAGTACTTAATAACATTCCAAACTAATGGCGTCTATTTCTTTTTAGTTTTTAATGAAAGTAATTTTATATTCCTTTCAATTCTTTCTTTTTTCATTTTGACCCTATAGCGTCTGGTAGTTGCTATGGTGAATTTTAAATTCTGTTGTGGCACTCGCAAGGTGAAGACAAATAGATAGACGTATAAATCATCAAAATTAGCCAAGTCGTTCTCTACAATGCCATATAGATAGATACATACGTAGACTCATAAACATATTACCCCCCTTTGCGTTGCGCAGTCGGATAAAAAGGACCCAATCTTCAAATAGACATACAAAAGTTAATATGTACTAATATGGCGGAGTTACGAATTCGTCTTCACCGTTGACATTGAGAAGTATAGCTGTATTAATTTAGATCCTACACAACAACAATGAGTAAAAAGACGGAATTTTTAGAAAATCTGACACCAGAACAAATTGCAAAGCTTGTTTTTTTCCACTTCAAGGATGAAAATTCACAAAATACATTAGTATTAGCCTGGAATCTAAAAACAGATAATAGATATGGACGAGCAAAGTTGGATGGGATAACGGAGTTCCTGAAAACATAGATAAAGAATGGCTGAAACTATGAAAGGAATTAAATTGCATAAAAATGTAAAATTAAACAGATGTATTGGAAGTATAGATCGAAATATTGAACTGCAAGGATTCAGTGACGCAAGCGAAAAGCTTAGGCTTGCGTCATCTATTGTAAAGTACCTATACTCCATTCATTATAACATTAGAAAAAAGAGGGTCATAGAAGCAGCAGTTCAGAACATTTTATTATCAAGATATTTAAAAAATATATATATTACATTTTTTAAAAACTTTGAACATTAGGTAGTCTGAAAGAGCTGGGCAATTATCCATTTTTTATGATACCTCGGGGTTGAGATGAGGCCAGCATTTTATAAATTCATCTTTTACTCCCAAGCCAAAATGGAACTAAAACTGATACTATCTATCTGTTGTTTTGATAAATTCTAATTGTAAGTGTAATTAGTTAGACTATTGATGAAGACATTGGAAAAACTAACTGAAATGTCAATGGTTGAGGGTAGGCATGGGGGCTTAGAGTGTAATTTTTGTAGGCCACTCGGGCCTGCATCGGAATCGCAATTTAGCAAAACTTAACAACTATAAGAAAACAACAATAAAACAGTAATTACTCAATCACCGAAAATAACAAAACTACAAGAAAGGCAGTAGTATTCACAATGAATGACAATCCCAGATTACATATTTTGACTAGTATGAATAAATCATAATCTGACAAAATTAAAAAGCTGTACTGCGAAACGTTTGAAGGGATTAGGCAACGTTTTAAATTTGGTAGAGTTATAGTGACATGAGAATCATGCCGAAACTATCTAACCCTGCTTCTTTAGGTTCTTTAAGATGAACACTTTTTATTGTAATAATTATTAAATGTTTTAAGTCAGTCAAATACTCATAAATTTGTTTAATATATAGCTTAAAAGACTACGGTTAAGTATAGCAGCTGGTATTTAAGTGGATATGTAGCAAATTAGCCGTTAGTCTTAAGAGTAACATGATTGTTGACATTTTGTCACAAAGTATACCATAAAAAGAACCTTATTTTCATTCTGTCTAATGCTATAATGAATGGAGTATAATCGACGACAGTGGTTATGCGATCGTGACTTTTTTACAGCCAAGACAAAGGTAGCACCTTTGCCACACAAGATCACACTTCCAAAAACAGAGTTATATGGCGTTGTGTTATTATTTCAACCAATGGAAAAGGTCACACCCGCCCTTCAAATATACTCGCTTACAGTTTATGCTTGGTGTGATTCAGTAGTAGTTTTGCCCTGGATACAGAGATGTAAGTAAAAATGGGAAATCGTGGCTAATAGAATAGAAGGAATAATAAAATTATAAAAATTATCCCAGCCGACAAGACGCAGTATTTCTATGTGTATATATTCTTATACTCTTTTCAAGAACGAGGAGCAAAGTACGTCATCTGTCTATTTACACCGGAAGTTGTAATTTTACATTTATCAAATTTAATGTAAATTTTATTAATCGGTTATTAGACATTATTATAACCCACGCTTAGGGTCCTATTATGTTCACAATTTTATATAATAGACTAGTGACCACCCGCGACTTCGTCCGCGTGGAAGTCGGTCTCCCGCAACCCTTAACACTTAAAAATATATGTTGGCCGATTCTCAGATGCTCAATATGACGTTTGTAACATCAACACGTATGTTCTATGTAAATTATGGAACATTGAAATGCTTAATCTTTAGGAAATTCCAGCTTCCAGACAATTGGCTATTCTACAAGACGTTTATTATAATGAATAATCGCTGCACGTTTTATTTTGGTACCTACATACTTATTACACTTGGTTAACACTTTTTGGTGATCATTGTTTCCATATTCAAATGTCAAAAAATGCAAAAGGGTAAAACAGTCGGCAACAACAAAAAATCTGACATACTATCAGAAACTAAAGAAATGATAAAATTCTGTGCCATTTTGTGATCACTTATTTATCTATTAGAATAATTAACACTGTAAAAATGAAAACTAAATATTTTTTGACCTCTGAATTGCGGAAAATTTGTGTAATTCATTCAAAGGTTTTAAACTACTATAGCAAATATGTTAAATTTTCTGAAAGTGTAACGCATTCGATAATAAGTAGGTAGTAGACAATATTTGATATGAATGAGACGGTCTGAAATAACGTTACCCTACATGTTATAATTACACAATGCCTCGATAAATAAAAGAGGCTTCGGGTCGAAAATGAGATCGAATTTATACTAAACGAGTATGCATATTTTTGCATTAGCTTTGAAACTCCATTCCTTAGGCTATTTGCTTATAATTATAGACGTGTTTATTTATCAAAGTTTACGGGATTCTCATAGAATTTATTAATAGCCAGGCGGCGAGAAATGCATTACAATATTGTAGATGAACGTTAACAGAATTCGAAAGAGGCTTATAATTAGCCTCTTTCTCTAAGAACACAGGGCACTGAAAAATAAAGGCGAGTTTCTTAACAAACAATAAATCGTTTCAGTAACACAAACCATAACGATATTCGTAATCGCTATAAAATACAATGAGAAAAATAAAATTATGATTCTTTAGAGATTTCTTTTGTTGTCACTGTGATTTAGCAGAGGGATGTACCCCGAACAGACATCGATTCGAGTTTAACTAAACTGTTTATTAATCTTTTGGTTTTTAAAATGCATGGTTAAGTTAAAAATACGACCGTTCACAGTGTCAAAAAAACAAATCATTTCGGTCCACACAAATTGGTGAAACTGTAGGTTTGCTAGTGATATGCAATTTAAAATATATCCTTACAGCCAAAAGCAATGCTAATGCTTACAATACTATTGATTGATACCTACCACAACAGAGCTATTCACTTAGGCTTATAAACTAAACAGTCACTATTAACATACTGAATTTAATCCAAATAAACAAGTGATTCGTAAACAGATATATCAATAAAGGTAGGTATCTATTATGTAATAACATAATAATTTGAGCCCAGTTTGGCGTTGAGACAATTTAATCTAAACAGTATAAATAATAAAATAAATAAAGGTTCTACGAGAATATGTTAATAGAAAATGATAATAACAATTGTTCTTTAAAAACATAGTTACAAACAATAGTTTTGACACGAGAAACTAAATAAGGTGAAAATTATATTTGTCATGCAATATTATAAAACACGTCGTGAGAGTCGCCAGTAATGATTCGATAACTATAAAAAAAAATCATAAATTAATATCTATTTCATAAATTACCAACCGAAACCGCCTCTTTAGGTATATAATAATACAAGGATTTTTTTTTTTTCACTTAACTATCACGAAAATAACATTAGGTACTTACTAATGTAATGCGAAATGTATATTCTCCAATATAATAAATTAATTAATTATTAACTACAAAATCCACATTTTGATACAAAAGATTGAACTGCACTCGTCACAGTTCAAACAAAAATGGCACTATGCAACGTCTGCATTGTTTACTAATGGATTTTTGTCATTTCAAAGAAAAATACAATTAATTTTGATGCCGAATAGTCATCTAACACTTGCCTGTCAGGGTATTACCACATCGGCCAAATATATATTTTTATGTATAATTTTTCCTATATATAGTCATATGTATTTATTTTTTATATAATAATTTTGAATTTTCATTATTCTAACTTTTTATAGTTAAGCACGTTCAGTGCGCGCCAATGGCGACGAATGGATATTTAATGAACGCCTGGTGCAGCTGTTATGGAACAATATATTTATATAATAATAATAATAATGTGAGGCATGCATATGCCAATCGATCCGTCGCCATCGCTCGCATCTAGCCTATCGTCGCCGCACCCACCCCAACACTTACTGTGGTCAAAAATTTGGAAGGCACTTTCTACTTTTTCAAAAATTTTAAATTTTAATTTACTTTTTGAACACATTAGCCTAGACTTATACAATAGAAAATATGCGTAGTAACATTTACCAAAATTACGCAATTCTTTCCGAAACGCATAGGCCATTATATAACTTTCTTTTTTTTTACCTAGAATAAACTTTATTTCCAAAAGGACAGCCAAATAGATTCAATACTAGATCTGAACGCAAATTATTATTTTTCATCTTCTTAAATTTGGTCTTTTTTATACACTAATTCCAAAGATGAACGAAATCGGATAATCCAAATACCAAACAATAGTGAAGTATCAAGGCCACTTGGAGACTTATTTTATACCCTCGATCGTGTTTTGCGACGAGACATGCGCAGTAGCGCCCTCTACCTCTCAACAGACACAAATAAGAACGCCAACGATAGTACGCCAACAATATCTAATGGTAAACCCTTGCGGCAAAAAGATTATGGTCATTGTTAATTTCCTGCCGAAACTATCGAATAAAACCGTTAGAACTGACGTATAGTTAAAAACAAATTTGTACAAATCAAATTATATTCACTGTAGCAGCAGCGAGCGAAAACAGGCTCGGAGCATGATGCTTCAAGTAGACACCTAATATCTATTATCTGAAATGTTATTCTAGCTACGAGTAGGCGGGTCAAGCAGTGCATCGTCCTTACATGACGGTAGCGGTCAATTCAACCGACACAGATCCGCCGTTTGCAATACAAATGCTGCGACATGCGACTAACTATATCTGTCTATGCATGAGCGATCAACGGCATTTTTTAGTCGCTCTATCCTTTTCTTTTGCATAAAACAGACATTGCCTTTTGTAAGACAATTTATTGTCAATATTCGAGATCGAGTGATGCAAGATTTATCTCGCTCTAGAATCCCACGCTTCAGTGCGATCGAAGAGGAGGTAACGATTAAAACATGCCAATGTACGCCGATAGACGGGGTCAGTCTGAACCTGCCGTGGACCCGCCCGATTCTTGCTCTGCTCTAACAAAACGTTGGACAGCTTCCACTTAAATACAAATCTCTAGGAGTTTGCATAAACTCTATTCCTTTAGTCCATTTTTGACACGAAAATCTGTACACACAGACACATGGGTCTCGTTCGCGCAACTTTGAGCGAAAGAGAGAGAGAGAGCTCCATATACAGAGTAATATTTAATGTTCGTATAATATTGACCAGCTGATTGAATACACTCCTTACTCGCTAACACTGATATCGATACTACTTTAGACACTGAAGATTCTGTTATATTCAGAGTAAAGTCGAATAGATAATTAAAACTGGAATTAGGTTCCAACGGGGTGGAGGCCGCCGCCGCTGGCAGGAGAGGTCGGCCGAGTCCTCGGACTATAATTAAACCTAACATTTGGAACGATCACTACTGGCTAATGATACAATCTATATTACATTTGGCGATCGCTAAACTCTATCGCTTCACGAACAGTGAACAAGACGCGGGGCGCGGGGGCACATGCGCGTGCGCAACTCCCGCAAGCGACAATGCACTCACTATGATCGCTAGTAGAGAAAATTACATCGATCTGACGACAAATGAAATTATAGATATATTCGTTTAACATTATTATTATCTAAGACTATTTTTTGTTTTACACAAATATTTTGCTGAATTACAATGAATAGGTATACCGAACAGTCTTTTGAATCGGGCCAAATGTTTTAAAATTTTGATCTCCTTACTTCACAGATGAATCTAAGATGTATATTAGTTAAGCCTATGTTTCACATTCTACATATAGGCAGTCGACGAGGAGCGCCGACCAGCCGGCGATAGGCTTGCACTGGCCGGCGCCGGCGCTTCTGCATCGTCCACATCGCTTACAGTAGTAACAAAAAATACTTAATACATGTCACCGGAACACATACATAAACGTCAATGTATACAAAAAATATAATAATTAAACTAAAAATATTCCTTTTAATAATACAATACAAAATTCATAACTAAACAACAAGCATTTTATTGCACAGCAAGTCCACTTTAAATAATCAATCAATTAAATATGAATGTAAAATAATGCCGATACGATTGAAACGATTATAATACGTGGGTCACACTTTATGTGACAGTGACGTCCCGCGAGCGCGACTCATCCGTCGTGGCCTTGGAATGTGCTCGTATACAGAGGCCGCAACTTAGAAGTAGCCGACGGAATTGCGGTTGGGGACGAAGTATGGGTAAGCGGGCAGCGGCGGCGCAGGCACGGGCACGCCCAGGGGAGCGTGCGGCACCGCCACGCCCGCGGCCTCGCTTCAGATGTTCTCCGCACGCGCCTCGGCGGGCGGCGGCTCCATCTTCACAGGCACCGGCGTTGACAGCTCCTTGCCGTTCTTGCTTCCTGACACAGGGGTTTTCGGCGGGCCCATCTCAGTTATCTCTGCGACGACATCGCGCTCGCCGTAGCGGCTATCGGGACGCGGAGACGCGAATGGGCGAAATGGATCAGCCGGTTTTGGCGGTTCAAGAGCGTGACCGGGTGGAGGCGGCGAGCAGAGTGGCGATTCGAGCCCGGCCGAAAGCGGCGACGGCAGCCGCGGCGACTGCAGCGGCAGGGGAGGCAAGCCGAGATGCGGCGGATGATCGGGTGGACGCTGCGCTGCCACCACCATGTTGCACATCTGGCGACGAAGACCGTGTGCCACGGCGGCCACGGCGGCGGCGGCGGCAGCGTTCGGCGACACTCCACCCTCGCGCCCGTTGCCGCACGCTGTGTTGCCGTACGCGTTCGGCACTGTGATTCCATCCTGAAACACGGAATTCACCGTACAATACACGTTTTCATACGGAAAGTAACAAATTGCATTTAATCGACATTTTGGTGGAATTAATTCTGACTATTAGGACTATTAATCGAGACATAAAAATTTTATAAAACAGAAACGCCCAGCTTATAATGATCATCGCATCAGCAGATTCGCATCAGCACACCGTAGTCGAGCTGTTGGAAGATATTCATCGCGATACTGACCGTGATAGAGGGATAGGGTAAGACCTCTTCTTTGATGTGATGAGCGGTGTGCGGAGCGTGAGTGTCACGGAAGACGACGGCTCGGATGACGCCACGGATATGTTCGTCGGGCCAGACACCCAGCAGGATGCGCTGTGGCCGACCGCGCCCCTTCGGCCTCAGATCTGTAATGAGGCGCAAGAGTAAAACGTGAACTCGCTACAACAATATTGTTATACATTACCACTACCAAGAGAAATTTGGAAAATCAGATGGCCAAGATGTTGGTTTATAAAAAAAATATTTCTTGTATCATTTAAAAAAAGAACTAATTGTATAAAAATATAATTACGAAAGTAGCTTTTGAACGTTATCAATGAACGATTATATACATATTACGTCAGCGACATTTGTTTGAACAAATGTAGTGACGTAAAACCAAATAATAATTTTGACAAAGTCGGTACCAATTACATTTTTAATAAGCAACAGAAAAATACAAGGATGCCGAAGGTTAGGTTCATAATAATTACGAGAAAAACATAAAAACGTCATTGTGTCTAGAATGACACACATTGGCTGTAACCCGAGGTTTTGATCTTACCTAAAACACGCGGTTACATTGTTCTGATTATAATTTTGAAAAATTTATTAATATTAACATATCTGTATAGGTGCGCACGTACTGTACTGTATATTTTTGAGAATACGGTTGTATGTTGGTTTGGGTGTTTATGTTTAAAATAAAGTTTTAAACCTATTAAGTGCAAGTCATTTTGTATGTACATATTATTAAGTACATATTATTTTTCCCAAAAGTGCACCATAATTTTACGTACTGTTAATAGTCGTTGAAATAGATGTTCCGTTTTGCTTATTTTATTAACATACTCGTATGCATACTGATTATAAAGCTTAGACAGTTTTGATTATCCGCGAAATATAACATCTCGGTGCAGGGTAACATCTGAGAACTTCGAAGTTACTTTGCGCACCACTTAAGTCTTCGTGATGTCGCTTCGCTAACTTCAACCATTAATAATGTAGAAATAAAGACATATAAAAATATGAATGACACAAGTACGCAAAAATTTCTTGCCCAATATCACCTGTGTATATGTTACAGCTACCATAAGGCTATAAATAAGAGCCATGATACTAACGAATTCCTACTAAGTATTAATTTCATTTGCAGAACTAAAACTGACAAATTGACTTATAGAAACTGACATTTGAGAACGTTCAATGTTATTTTGTGTATGCAACAAGTATTAAGAGGAATTTAAATGCTTAAAACTGCCTATGATATATGTTGACACTGTATTAGATTGTGCATGTTTAAACCATCTTGGGAAAATCTAATAATAAATGGTGAAAGAATTTGCTTGCCATTTAATAATAAATAATAAATGGTAGCAAGCAAATTCTTGACTAAAAAGTTGGCAGTCAAGGTTAATAATACGAAATATTAATTGATTACGCAACGATTCAATGAATTCTGAATTAAAACCTCTTTATAAATAAATATAATAATAGTAAAGAAATATATTCATTCCAGTGCAGTATAATTGTAAAAACTCCGTAGTGATAATGATTATCATATCATGTTTACGAACAAGGTAACAAGTTATTAACCAAAGAGCATAGACATTATACAGATAACATATATAGAACTATCTAGATACACTTCAATGAAAATAAAATTCGCATAGCTAAACAATTCGCAACGCATCACACATTTTGCACAAGATATTTTATACATACATACATATTGAGATGTCATTAACATGTTAAAAAAAGTTGAAGGTTTCTGATCAATTATTAGATAATTTTGTAACAAAGTAATACGGTACTACTATTAATATATTATTCGATCATCAAAGTAAGCGAAACAACACGAAGAGAAGTAAAGTGCCTCTGTCACCGAACGCAGATAATATCATTAATTTTTTATAAAAGATTTGTTTGAATATGATAATTTGAATCGAACCTTCTTTATTACGCAGATCAGAAACCTTTTAACTTAATATGATTATCAATTAATAAATGACTACATACCGGCACCGCCGTCGGCGCTCGGGCCCAGCATGTTGTGGACTCGGTTCGCGTAGAGCACGAAGGTGGGATACGGGATGTCGTACTTTCTAGCGGCCTGTGAGAGGGACAGGCCTTCTTTCAGAACAGAGAAGATAGCCTCGGCCATGGTCTCGGGCCGCCAGGACTTCAGGGGGCCACGCTCACGAAAGCGTAGATTGTGCACGAGGCTCTGGTTAGTATTCCAGCACTTCTGCCACATCGACTGAAGCTGGTACTGGTAGCTGTCTGCTGAAAGTAGAGAGGTAAAGCATTAGTATTACTGACAAACTATAGATATTATAAAAATAGCCAAGAACATCATCATTGATTGCGCTGTTACAACGTAAATGGAATAATTTTCTATATTGAGTTAATTTCATATTTATGTATCGGTCGGGTACTAATTCGTATGCAAAAAGGAGACCCATAAAAATAAATGGATCAAGTATGAGTCGATGATGGAACATGCAAAATAAGTGGCAAATAAATAGAATATTAATCTAAGTTAATACTAGATAATAGCTTATAAGGGATTTTGTATGGATATATTTGCAATGTGCTCAAATTAAAATCGCAGACTTGATAGTTAATACATCTGAAGCGTTTTATAATCACCTTGATGCAAGTGATGCGTAAAATATAAAAAAAATCACTACATACTGACCTCAGGGGAGAACCTATATATACAGAATAAAAAAATATATAATTAGCAGGTAACAGAAAATCAAACAACATATAGTTTTGTATTTTATTATAAAAATGAGACAGTCTTATAAAAATATGGCCTCGCTTGAATGAAATAAGTCGGTAAGCATCAGCTTACATTTCACTACAAGCAATTGAAAAAAAAAGAAAAACAAGATTATTTTACGCTAATAATAATGTAACAAAAAAAAATACACAAATACAACTTTCCGACTCACACTACAACCACATTGATCACCGAAGATTATAATCTCATCATGAAATCTATTTAAGAATGATCAAAATACTACACAAATATTGATCGGCTAACATATAGAAATCTTTAAATGTACGATCAGGCTTTTGCATTAACATTATCTGTGAAAAAAGGTGCAATTGTAAGATTGTACTATATTTATGTAAATAAGTTTTGATATTATGATATCATACGGGGACCAACTAATAAATATAATTATTTATTGTAAATAACGTATTTTAGCCGGCGTATTTAAGCTACATGTAATTGTAACACTAGCTATGTATGTTTGTTACTTTAGCGTGGTGTAATAATATTAACGATTCAACACTCCATAGTAGGTATAGTAACAGCACGTGTGAAAATACAATATCTTAATTTTTTTCAATCGATTTAAACCCTAATACAACTTAATGTTATGAAGAAGTTTATACTGTACGGGTACTACTTTAAGAAGTTACGTAGGATAATTGAAATTTCATGAATTTATTTCTCAATGTTTTTCTCATGCTCCGTAATTTTTTGTTCGTCCTGTGTCGTGTTGTCTCCCTGTTTTTCAGACAGTGGGGATATTAATAGGTTGATGATGAATAAAATATATTTATAAATCAATTGCTGTTCGCTTGTCTCGTTAAAAGTCATGACCGGGTAGGTCAATTTGCTGATTTTTATTTTGAAATGTTTATCGTAGTATGGAAAGTATTTAAACAGAGATAGGTTATACAAAGTACGTCGGGTCATTTAGTATCCTATAAAAATATTATGTGACATCCGTCGACACACGATTGGAACCTATCAAAGGGGTATTAATATAATATTATCATTGCAAATGGGCATGGATACATATACATTATATCATTAATAAATATACATATAATGGCTGTTGTAAATAGATGAGGCTCGAGCAGTCCACAGATGTTTTTATAATGTGCTAAAATAAAAATCAATAATATGTAATAAATATGTAATACATTGTTACAGATAATTTTTATGTTATATAAATGTTAACATTATATACTTTCGAGTTTGAAACAGAACAAAGTAGTGGCATACAAACGTAGTATTAACTATGGACAGCATAATGGTATAAACGGTTCATTTTCCCATAGAATAGTAATAATTGAAAACATTAAATAGTAATTTTCCAGGAACTGTTACTTCGATGAATTTTCAGTTTTTCAGTTCAAAATATTTAAATTAATATTTTAACATTATTTTCTCACTAATTTTCTATTTGATAGTATGCATTCGTGGCCCATGAGTATTTTAAATAATGCCACATTGAATTTTTAGGAAGAAAAATCTCACGATTATGGTGAAGAATAAATCATAAGTTTGCTAAATATTACATAAATAGATAAAAATGTATGGCTGAAGTATAATAATATAATATTAAACTTCTAAATACGTAATTACTGATAATTTAAATCTGCAGCACAAATTTATCTACTTCGATATTCAATTCGCAATTGTAATTAAATTTTGTTATTATGACATATCTTTTTTTATTAATAAAGTAGTTGTCCTGTGTGTGTGTAAAAATATGTGAAATTTAAATTTAGTAAATCAAGAGATATCACTATCATTCACATTAACTTTTTATTGCAGGGAAAAACACATTATTTAATTATGCATATATATTTGCCTTCAATAATAACGGAATATTATGCTATATGATTTATATATCATAATTATAACTTTGGCCCGTATAGTATAATCGAGAACATACTTTTTCTTAATTTTAAATTATATTGAATAATTTATTCATTAATGGAACATATATCGGTTAATATCAGTCATTTAAAAAAGTTGAATATACTTTTTTATACAGTTTAATAAATGCTTAAATGTTATGCAGTAGGTCGGGTAATTTTTGTTTTCAATATAACTTGTTTGCAACAAGTTAACTTGAACTGTACGAGAACGGGTTTGTCATACTTATACATATTAATATTTAATGCTGTTTCATTGCTTTTTAGGTATGTATTAATATATGCGTATCAGATCGTACGTGAAGCAATAGCGAAAAGTGGTTTAGATAGATTTTAACAAATTCTGTTTGACAAACATGCTAAATAATACGAGTAGTTGTTGTTTACAACATTAAGTTCAATAAAATATTAATCACTACTCGGAAAATTTAAATTTGTGTTTACTCATTATTATATACTATTTTTCCGCCAGCGGATTCGCTCGCGTTGCCCTGTAATATACAAATGTCGTGGGCCAATCTTTGAATTGGGCCGGTCGAGATCTGCCCGGGTATATCGCAATATGCCGCCGTTTCTTGATTTGGCCAGGAAAGTCACTATCAGTTCGTTTAAAATTTTGGTAGATTTGGTAGATGGACGAGAGCAACGTATTTAACAATTTACCTGATTTTATAGTTTAATAAATAATTATTAATTAAACTTCATTATATTCGCTTACATACAGAGATGGGCGGTAAGATAAAACCCGGGATGATGCCCTTCTCTACTTATATATTACTTTGGTCTACAAAATCGATTCGCCTGAGTATAGTCGGGAAAATCGTCAAACGTTAAGCATTACGATAATAGTCAAATAGTTGCATATCGTGATATATTTCGATCGTCTCAATTCAACGGATGGCCACGACACATATAAACCAATCTTGAATCAGTCTATATATTGAAAACTGCATTAACCGTTGTGTAGCTTAAAATATCTCAGCGTACAGACAGCGGGAAATGACTATGTAGATATATTCACTTTTAAACTATCACGCTGTATTATTATATACTTATAATACCGTCTAATACCCGTTATTATAAGTGTGTACTAAGTATATATTAATAAGTTGTATAAGGCAAATTACTACATTTCAACGACCGTAGAGGTAATTGCGACCGACGACTTCGTGTCTTCCACAGCATGTGGACCTTGAGAATAATTTTTGGGCATCTAATAAAAATTACAAACCTTTACGAAGATTACTTAAATTCCGTAATCGGAAACCGAACACACTACGATATCGTAGTTCTCGGGGGGTCAATTATGGTAATTAATTTGGGTTTCCAAATTAGCTTAGTTCAGTTTGACATATTGGAAAAACAACGTGATGTCATATACTATATTTCAATATGTTAGCCGATGGAATAATTTATGGAGTATTAAGAAAATGCCCTAGAGACGTTGCCGAATTGTGTTATTCATGAGAAAAATCAAATCCATACATTTCGTCTGTTATTAGCAGAAACGAACATATCTAAATATTAATTGCAGCTGATTACAATATGATTACTTAGAACTTTAGAACAAACTATAATGTGCTATAGAGCTATAGCGACTGCACTCGCTAGATAACACGTAAACAATTACCTCCATAGGAACATAAGAAAAGCAGATTAGTATACTACATATATATATATTTAGCAGTGTGCCGCACTTAGCTAAATTATATTATTTTAAAAATAATAAATTATCTTTAATTATATATTCATAACTTCTCATACAATATACCTATACAAAATGTAGAGTTTGATTAATGAAAGTATACAAAAAATGTCGAAATGTGGTGGCTAGTTTAATTATTTAAATGCTGTTATTTATATTAAGGTGGACATTCAAATGTCACTGGTCCATTTCGTAATCATACCACGTTTTGACTTCGAAAAAGTAATCCAACAAAATGGAGTGTTAAGTATGTTATATATCAATAATAATACAGGTCGCCGGCCCAACATGAGTAGTGTTTCATCATAAAAAATAATATATTTACGGAGCGAAGAATTTTTGTGTTTATATTACTTATAAATACCAGTATTGACGTCTAATGTAAATTTTTGTGAAATAAAATAAGTATACTATCGGTAGAAAAGTGCGACCGTTATAATCTGCATTATCAGCATGAAAATTATCGAGTTTGAATCGAATATGTATGGAGAACGCAGCATTGGAATTCTTAGTTCCCTTTACAAAGGTAGATGACGCTGTGAAATTATTAGTAAAAAGTTATTATATGCTTGATACGAATTTGATTTGTATTCGACAACTGTCTTGCTAAACACTCTGACGGAGCTCTGAAAAGAGGGAGAATCTGCCTTCAAACAATTATCAAGCAATATCAATATTGAGGCAAATAATGTTCTTTTTACTTCTACTTTATCTAATAGTAATACCTATATTACTAGAGTAACTTGTTTATTTATTTGTTAATGTAAGACCACTGAACGAAATTCTGGGACTTATATACTGAGCAATTAAGAATAAAATCTGCCATTCTGGTATACTTAACAAACATTATTTTTAATTTAACTAATCTACAAAGGAATGAACAGAACAATAATATATGAGTTAAGTACCAAAATAATAACAATATTCTTCTCATTAATAAAAATAGTTCGAAGCTGTAGTAACAACAGACCGCTCGCCTTCTAGTAACATACTATGCTCTTATCAATTATCAAATAAAAATAGGCCCAAGCCTCATATAAAATTCATACGTCATGATTTACGAACTCAAATCATATTTCATATTTTACAATTTTCCTTCATATTAAAATCTTCTGACTGTGATAATGAAACGCATCTAGTGAGAGTTTATACATCAGATGCAAAACACTCAACTGATAATAAATTACGTTAACAAATTATAATGGAAGTTACGTATAAATATTACTATTTGTATTTTTTATAATTTTTACTATAACGCTCGTGTATTTTTCTACAATATTAGAATATTATAAAATTTTACTCCGTGATAAATTAGCGCCTATGTCTACATTAAATATGAACGTTTCCAATGAAAGAAAATATATTTGTGACTTTTATGAATTCATGATATGTTCGAGTATTGACATCTGTCTCTAATTAAGTTGTCACAATTCCCTTATAATAGCTTTTTTAACAAACTAGTACTGAGGCTTCTCAATGGACACATATTATAAGGAACAGTAATTTGCCTCGCCATAGTAACATAACGGTATAAATGTTATTAATATTTCAGTGATAAAGTATAGGTCCTAATAATATGCCTTTAGGTGCTTTTGATAAACATTTTAGGACTCGTCGTCAGTGGCATGTGTAAATTTTATTTTAGAATTTCTAGATTTATTGGCGCCGTCATAGTAGAGTGATACTATCGAATGCTTTTTACAGAACGCCCACCACCATCTGAACCCTGTTAGACCTATGAACATGAAACCGGGATCTTTGCTTTTTTTGAGTTTTTCGACAAATGCTAATATTTCTGTTAACGACTTTTTAGTTCTTCTGTTATAGGGTGAGACGCTGGTTTCACAACAGAAGTCTAACACGGCTCTCTCTTCGCAAGCCGATAAAGCGGCTTCGTCCAGAACAGCCATTCTTTTAGATTTGCCTAGTATATTATCGTACAATGTTCCTTTGGGTATTCCATAATGTGTTGATGCTTGAGTGAAGCGCATCCTTTGTGTGACAACTGCTTGTATCGCTTCTTGCAGCTGACTCTGAGTCCATGTCGGTGCTTTCAACTTGAGGGCATGACCGTGGAATTCTATAGAATTATATAGATAAATAAAAGCGACAATGCTAATGCATAAGGACTCTCAGTTTCAACATACGTATGATGCAATACGTCATTATTTATTATTACTATTCTACATAGAATCGAGTATGAGAGAACATTGTGACATTTTTGCGTCGTTCTTATTGTGGTAATACAAATTGTATATCATTTCAATTGTATTGTAATTCAAACAGACGTATGATGTTTTAACAATGTAATTCTGTAATAGAGGTTTGTAGAGACGTCCGCAGAAAACGCGTGACGTGAGTATCGGTGTCACGCGTAATTACACCAGTAACAGGGACTGTGATGCAATCGGATATTATGGAATATATCCAAAGTCATCGTTATAATGGTAAATAACGTGCACTGCCAAATAACGTACATTATTTTGGTTTTCAAATTTTTATTTTTGTGTTATCACTGAACTACTCTTCATAGTTATTGCTGGAGAATATATTATTCAAATCAATTAAGAGTTAAAATTTTATAGTCGCTCTGTTATTAATATTTGGTGTTGCTACAAGAATACGGCATCATCAAAACCTATATATATCGAACAAGACAATTTTTCCCATAATGAAAGAATCGGTGTACTTTAAATGTAGGTATATGAATAATACGTATTGCATCATGTCGCGTACGGATTTGAAGTAACATGCAATCACACATACACAGGCATATAAACATGTAAAGGTAGCATTATTCGAACAATGTGGAAAATTCACACAGGCTTAGTAAGGAGAGTAGAATGTCGTTACAATGCAATATTTGTGACATTATAACTAGACTATATGAAAATGTCTCTGGTATTTCGAATCACGTTATTGGAATAACTATAATATGGATTGAGAATAAATTTTGATGAATTTACAATATTTTGACCGTAAAATATGGCCATAATTAATAAAAATTCTATAAGTACTTCTTGAAATTAAAAAAGTTATTTATGAATTAGAGGAAATGTTTTGAAAAATGCAATGAGCCGAAAATAAATCTAATGATTTAATGTACATATGTAAATTAAAACAAATCTTATCGTGAAACAACTAGACTAGTAGATCTCACTGAACATAGAAAGGACAGTCATAATTATTAGCAAGCTGCCATTTAAAAACAGGCAAACAAAAGACAATCAAAGTCACATGTAAATGGACATGCTTCAGATAACGTGCATAGATTAACTGTTCAATAAAGTAACTTTACTATTTAAGTTCTGATGTTAAGTTCAGACAGTTTCGTTAAAAAATATCTAAGACATTCTCATCAGTGTAATGTACTGTGATTGTGAAATAGATGTAAAGAAAACATTCAAACGTTCATTATGCGAGGTTTAGTGGTGAAAATGGTTTCCTGTCTCGCGCGCTAGAGGCACTGTTCAATTTCTGAACGTCATAGATACGAATACTTTTTGTAAGATATTCGTGCTAGAGCTACTGATGATAATATTGTCAACTGACCTGCGATAGATGACGTCGATGCTCCGAGCCATGCATGCGAGCTTTCCAGAAGTTTAGCCTGCAACAAAAACAAACGAAAGTTAGGATAACGTTTTAAATCTATACAACACTATACCGAACACTCAAACACTGCATCAAAATTAGTTTCGTGGTTTAGGAAAGATAAAAGTTTAACATACTCGTATACAAAGTTTGAGACAAATGGAGAGCAACTTTAATGAATTGACTTTGGTAAGGTAAAAAAGAAGCCTATGATTTGGACTAGCATGTATGTATGATTATCATGTCCTAACTTCGAAACTACGTATCATAACTTGTCAAATAGGATATCAATAGATTATCCACATCACAACAACACAATTGTGTTTCGTTTCAATGAGTAAATAAAAAAAATTACATATTTCTTATTTTGATCCAATTCACCCAATACGACCCGCCTCAGTCTACCCTAGATGTTATATTAAAAAGGAAGTTTGTAAATCGATTGATCATTTAAGCGATATTTAAATTGAACACGGGCGGCATTATTGCGACGGGTAGACCGAGACGATCCCGGTGAGTGAACGAGCACACTAAATTATAACCGTCAGATAAAAAGAACAATTCGTCAGTTAATTTACATTTCCTCATCTCATACAGGAAGTTTACGATTGGCATATTTTATCGATCGCTACCAGTGCATCGTGCGCGCGCGCATGTTTACGCGAACGCTCGGCATTTCTTTTGTGCCCAGCGCTGCTACCGACTTAACTTTATAGAAGTTTTAATTGTGAGCGCAGACAAAAGGCGGCTATTTTACGGCGGCAATAACGGAACGCAGTCCAATCTACAAATACAATTTTTTATTAAGTCGCGCGCGCGCAAGCGGGTACATGCTCTGTACAGGCAGGGTACAGCCGTAGCCAGCCGGGCAGCCGGGGCGCACCGGGCGTGTCGTGTTAACTATGCGCTTGCACGTGCTCCAGTGCCGCCGCGCCGCGCGTTGCTGTTTGTTTACCCGAATAAAACACTAAAATCGAATTCAATAACAAAGAATTAAAGATCCCAAAATAAAATTGATTGCTCGAGTACGATAAAATAGATTTATGTTCGTGAACGGAGCGGCGGCGGCGCGGCGACGGTGCGGGAGCGGCGGAAATACTTATTATATTATTAGACGCACTTAACGGATTCATATCGCTCAAAGTGGATTAAAGCGATAATAAACGTTCATTCGCCTACGTAAAGGTGATATTACCTCGACTAGTGTCACTCGATTCACTTGAAATTGATTCGACATGATTAGCTACTTAATATTGTACGTATACCTATTGAGATGACATTTTGCGGGGATGGACATTTTTTTGAGATAAATGTGATTTGTTAGACCTTTTAACTACCGTTAGTTAAGGCCACACAGATTTCGATGCGGTTCTAATTGTTATATATTTTTATTCTCTTTAATTATATTCATTATTTTATATCTCAAAAAGTTGTAACTTGTAAAGTTTGTAATGCAATCATAAAATTTTTTGGTTTTTAAAAATGTTAAACCGACGGAAATCTTAAATACACTCGAAATCTCAGATATATACCTATGTACTGTGTCATTATGAAATGTAACCGAGGTAGCTGGTAAAATTTTGGCTCGAAGGATCATTTTTACCTACTTTAAAGCGATTAAACTTTTATAAGATGGGTAGTTAGCATTAATACGTAATTATTATTTTTTTCTACTACCAACCAACTATTCTTTTTATCCAGAAATTCTTTAAGTCTATTTATTCATTTGAATGTTGTTATTCTTGTTAGTAATAGAGTCAAAGTAAGCTTTCCTAAGACTTAAAAGTGTCATGAAGTTTCGACGAGAAGTTTATTGTAAAATTTAACAACAATGTAAATTTTCTTTTGATTCTAAGCAGTGATACAAATAATAAAATCAGTCTTTAAAAACTTAAGCAGATTTCAAAAAGTTAATCTTAATAACTAAAGTGACGGTTGATAGAAAAAACCTTTTACGCTCAACATTTCTGATTTAATAGTAAGATTAAAACAATTGCAGATTACACTTTCCCTAAACTATATCTAAGAAAAGCAGAAAAAAAAAAAATTTAATGTAATAAGGTATTAAAAAATAAAGCAAAAAGAATAAATTTTGTAAAGACTGCGTCGTTGGCAAACAATTCATCGCGAGGCGCTTTAGTGAAAAAATATTCAAAGTATATATTTGCATTGGCCAGGAACGGACTCGGAGGTCAGCGCGCTCAATTTTTGTTAGTAGCCGTGTTTGAAATGTAAACATGATGACTTTTACTATACATCGCAATCAATAAAATGGGTAGGACACTGAGCAAACGTAAGAAATGAGCAAATACAAACAACAAAAATCTATGAATCTTGTTTTGTACTCATAGTTTATTTTGTGACTTTCCTATCGTTTATTTAACACATATTGTTAAAAGAACAGGATATTGCGAAATTTTTGTTGTTATCTATTTCTGATTAAAGCTGAAACTACCTACGTAGTTATAATCGATTCATAGTAAACTTTCATAAAACACCTATATTCATTAAAGCATTCGATAAAGCTCACGTCTAAAAAAATGCTGATAATTGCGTGGATAGATAAATAGACCTAAAATAAATCTGTATCAAATGACAATACAATGATTTTCGTTAATGGCGCAATTGCTTGTTAAATTGAGCTACCGGAGACAAAATTGTCGAGTTTATCTAGTGAGTGTATTTTAAAATGTATGTATGTTCATTACATCATCCTGTTGTGCAATAAACACTACTTAATAAGCACGCTACTAATTATAGTTTCTACGCTAGTTATTGTTTAAAAAATACTATTATTGCACTGAGAATACAATACTTATAAAAAATATTAAAAGGTAAAATCGTGAAAGCGTACGATAGATATTAACCGTGTGCGGCGAGTCGGGTGAGTGAGTTTGAAATAATCCTCAACACGGTCCTGGCTTCTCTAAGTAGGCTGTTCAGCGAGGTCGTACCGAGCTCCGTTATTATATGGGGAGTATCATTTAGTAGACGTTTAGGTTATTAATAGGGGGTGGAGGAGGACGCTTGGCGCCGTCCTTATGCAAAGTAAATAAAAAATTCATATTTGTAAATAACATCGGGTGGAGAGGAAGCGCGCTCGCCGGTCGATCGATCCATACTATAAATAACATGACACTTGACAGCTCTGTACTTTGTATTTAAATCCGATTTGGGTTATTACAACTATTTGAGTAAGACATTTTGATAAGTAATAATAGGAGAACGTGTATTGGTTTTTAATTATCTCATAGAGGTAAATACAGGCCGGTTTACTTTTAATAACAAATCAAAAATTTAATATCTCACTTATTTTATACTAACCGCATAAAACGAGAATTCATGTAAGTCCATGAAAGACTCACGGTGACAAAAATATGGAAAAATTGAGAGGAAAACGGTAAAAAGAACTCTTGTCTTCCTTTATGCTCACCATTATCATCAACCAGTTTACAAAACAATAAAATTGTGTATTAAATTCGTTACTAATTGTAAAAAAGAATCGGTTGCCATTGATACAGACACGACGTCGTTTAGCGATGAGAACGTTCCTAATGAGTCTTCAAACAAACGCGATGAGATCAAAGGAAGTATTGACGCATAATCGTAGGTACCGGAAAAGTCGGCCTAATATGCAAAATATGAGACGAGAGCAAAAACCAAGTGATCGGACATAGCGAACAATGCCTATCGAGCCTTCAGACGCTGTAAACATATAAAATGATGGCCGTTATTGTTCTTCAGAAACAATATGAGCAACATTTTTTTCACAATCGACTGGAGCTATTTCAAGTGAAAGCTGCAAACATAGAATAATAACGGCTAGTGGTACCGCATCGACGCACGTTTAAACAATCAAATGGAGAACAAAAAGGCAGTAATGTGGGAATGGATAATACAGAAGCGGCCCTGATACGACCAGCGCATGTCACCGGGCGCAGCGGACGAGCTAGCGGGAGCAATCCTCCTTTAAATAACTACCTGTTCAAACAAAACTAATAGTAAATTTATAGTGAATTAACTAAATAGAGCTTACAAATGAAGTGTAATTAAAAACAAGAAAACTATTATACTATGTAAACGTCATCGATGTTATTATAAAAAAGGGAATTATCTATAAGTTTAATTTATCTCATAATATTTAACTTTAGAACTTTATTGGGTCCAAACTTGAACTTTATTAGAACCAAATTGAATATCATTTAAACCTAAATGATATTCAATTTGGTCTCATAATCATACTTTTTTTTTAATAAAAATATGTAAATAAGTGAAGTAAAATTCTAGACATCATGCGATTTTACAAAGACAGTGATGATTTTATATATCGGGTTGGCACAAAAGTAATGAGACACTTGGTTTAAGTTTTTACTTTTTTATTATTATTACAATAAAAAAAGTTTAGTCAATGATGTAATTACCATTAGTATCTAAGACTTCTTGTCAACGATCCGGCAAAGTTTGGATGCCTTTTGCCCAGAACTCTGATGGCTGTGCCTCGAAAAAGTTGTTCTTCTCCGCCTCTACGTCAGAGAAATCATTAAATTGTTTACCCCGCAAATGCTGTTTCAGGGCTCTAAACAAATGATAGTCTGATGGGGCGAGGTCGGGGGAATAAGGTGGGTGGGGTATCGTCTCCCAGCCCAAGTTCTCCAACTGCCGGCGAACCACAGATGCGACGTGAGGTCGAGCGTTATCGTGCAGTAAAACTACATATATACAGTACAGTCGTATTTTCTTGATAGCGGCAGATAATTTGGTTAGCTGGGTTGAATATTTGTCAGCGTTTATAGTTTCATTGTGTAATAGCTCATAAAACAGTATGCCTTGCGCATCCCAGAAACAGCAAAGCAGAATTTTTCGGCGGTTCTTTTGACTCGGCTTCGGTTGAGTTGGTGGCGTTTCTTCTCGAGGCAGCCAAAAAGCACGACGTGTATCGTTCTCGTAATAAATCCATGATTCATCTCCAGTAACCAGATCTGACAAAAACTCTTTACGTCGGGGTCGCAGCAAAAA